GGGCTTTGGGGTCCTCTGTATTGTGGTGTGATTTGTCTCCTTCACATTATAATGTTAGCGGATCAAAACAAGCGTCAGAAGTCCAACGTTTCACATCCCTTTACAAATATTTGCTTGCAAAATGAAAGGAAAATGCCTTCATATTAATAATTTGTATACCTCTCATTAATTTTGGCTCCTGTTCCTAAGAGAATTGATATACATCGATGAAGTGGAGGGGGGGGGGGTTAGGTCGTTAAAATAATTCTGCACATTCAGCAGTATACAGCAACAAATAAGCAACTTTTAATCTACCTTTTTCTTCAACCAAATAATTCCCCTTCTAACTTGTCGCTCCCATTGTAAATTTCACCCCAGCCATATTTAGAACTTGACACACACACAAAAACACACAGCTGTTAACAAACAAGCAATCAGTTGCAAAAGTGTCTTTATTTAACTACATTTGCATACAACAATCCCATACTTTTAAATGGGACTTATCAGATGTAAACTTAGTTCAAATATCAAAATGCATGATGCACACAAAAACCTCTATTTTGACCGACATCAATTTCATACCAGGAATGACCATGAAACATGAAACTTGACTTTCACTCGAAACGTATCTATAAATACAAAGTAATTGTGAAGGAACAAATTTCAGTACTGTCTTTTGAGATGAAGCAAAATGACAACAGAAAATATTTCTTGAGTATTGTAGAAAGGAAGTAACAAACAACCTTTAGTCAAAAAAAACCCAACACTTCAATACTGTAAAACATCAAAATCATTTGAGGTATCATTTTCAAACTTTTATGAATATTAAAAGGCGACAACTAAAACAAAACAGCAATGCGATCCTCATTTTGAAAGATTGGATCAAATCCATGCTCGCTGTTTCAATCACAGAAAACTTACATGAGACAAATTTCATATATATGTCGTGTCCTAACTTGGTGTAGCCTTTTCTCAATCAGAGATTTACATTGACAGCAACAAATGACTGAGAAAAGAATTCTATTGATTTGCTTGAAAACCTTGTGTATCATTAACTCAAACCCTTTGCTTGATTGTGTGTGACACAAGACAAAGAGAAAAAACCCACACTAGACTACGTCAGCCTGCTATGTCAGCATTATGCTAATGATGCGGGCATTCAGTGCATAATAAAGGCAACATTCATCTAGAAATAACAAACATCTGACCCATTGTAAACACTATACAATGTACATCATGCAATATGTGATTCCTGATATTAAAAAGATAACAAATCTGAGTTGTACTGGATCCAATGATGGCAAGTTGCATGATTCTTATGACTTGGTACAAAAGCAAGGCAAGTTGGCTGTTATAAAAAGTACATCAGGCTATATATTAATACAAAATAGAAGTTATAAAAATAGAACAATCTGGCTCACTTTGCCCAATCTTCAGATGAGCAATATCAAATATTCACATAGTTTTGTTTGCATTTGAGACAGACCCTACTAGGATTGAAAAGTCAAGCCATCTCACTTGATTTCTTTTATTTATTTATTCCATTTCTTTATACCCAGGCTGTGCCCAAACAGTTGTAAAAAACCTTCATTGGGGCCCTGCATACATTACAAATTATTAAATAATGTTCAGCACAGTAAAACTCATAAGAAAAGTGCACTGGCGAAACAGACGACGAATATTAATACTTACAAACACAGGTATTTCAGAAATGTTTACAGAAATGATTGTACACTGCAGGTCAATCAGGTCAGTAGGCACTTTGCAGCAATATTCATTTAACAAGTGATACAAAAATAGCAAAAATATAAAAATATAAATTACCTCTGCATATTTACAAACAATTTATCATGTAATGTACAATGATTACAGTTAATGAGAATGGCTGGTTGTATTTCTACATGTACATGTTATCCCCAATCACCATACCGTAGAGTAATGACCACACTACAAGTAATTACAACTGTTACATCTGTCACAGTCAAGTTACTGGAATACAGAGATAAGGATCCTCATTATTCACAGACTACAGATAGTTCTTGCAAATATCTCCCTCTCTGAAACATATCCTGGGTAACTAGCATTTGAACAAATTTCAACATTGTTTGTAAGCCCCTTGGTACAATGTGCAAAGTGCAGTTAAACTAGCCAATACAGAAATCATTTTCTTGGGCAGATCTTTACTTGTTTTTACAAAATTTGACAATGAGACTCACAAAATGTCACCGCTAACCAGCACTTTGTGCTGGATATTTCCCCATCAATGTGGGAAGGTCCAAATTTGACTGTAATGATTAATCTGAGCAGACAGTTCAAGTCAGTTGATGCAGCTAAGGGTTCAAACCTGACAAGGCCAAGGGACTTTCTGTATGGGCCGGGGAGACATTAAGGGGACAAAGGAATGTTGACTTTCAGTTGATGAGGGTGATTGAATTGGCTTGGAGTCAGTACAAGATCTTGAAATGTATGAGAGGTAGTACAGGAAAGAAACACAGCAGAAGAAACAGCGAGACACATGTGGAGCTGATAGGCAGAATGTGTTCAGACAGAGTGTGGTAGATGACTGGGACTCACTCCCCCAGGGAAACACAAACCAGCAGAGATAGACAGAGGCATGTTCAAGGAAAGATCCCCTCACAGCTGATAGGCAGAATGTGTTCAGACAGAGGGTGGTAGATGACTGGGACTCACTCCTCCTGGGAAACACAAATCATCATAAACATGACAACGGGACTCGCTTTCCCAAGGAAAACACAGTGTTATAAACACTCAAATGAAAATGTCAATGAAAGATCTTCTCACAGCTGATGACTTTACAACAGAATGTGTTAAGTCAGAGGGTGGTAGATGGTTGGAACTCCAGCCCCCCTCCCCCCAAGAAGGGAAACAGAAAGTGTAGAAACCACTCAGACGTGAAAGAAAACAAGCCTTCACAAATAATACAGACAGCTTCACAAGACAACAATCGCAGATTGCTGAACAGAATCTTACAACCAGATATTAACCTTTCCAGCTTTGTAATGGGTGACAACACAGATAACACAGTTGACTGATAGAAGTGTACTGGACTTGCATGATGTTGCTGAGTCACCATGTCTTGTGTATAATGAAGAAAGGATTCAGCAATCTGACCAATTTAGGCAGAAGTCCTACATAACCATCAGTGCCACGCCTACAGTGTCTATGCTTCACGTCTTTATCTGTCAATGTGCAGCTTTTAATAGGAAGATCTTTGAGAATTTCTAAATGGTTCTAATGAAGGAGCCACAATATGTCACTGAGGAAATCTCTCTGTTAACACAAATCACTCCCGTTACAATTTTGCTTTTAGATTTGTTCAGGTCTATACCCTCCACCCTGCCGAAAGAAGGGAAAAAAAATTACCAATGAATTAATTTTTTTACTGAGTAGACTCTTTCTTTAGACAAAGAAAGTCTTACTTTTTGATGACAGATTCATTCAATCTGGCAAAAGTTATTATTCATACGTTAACATTTCCATTGTTTCATTGTGACTAATCCAACGCAGGGTGTGCGATATTTTTTATTAAAAAAAAAAATTACGACAATTTTATTTTATTTCAATCAGATTTTTTTTATTTGTTTAACTTTCAAAATATTGATTTGTCTAAAAATGTGTCTTAATCTCCCCATGCACCCTTACACCCATAAGTAAGGAGTTAACAGGTTCCTATAATACCTATCATCTACAAAACTCAATAAATTGATAAATGCATGCTTTTGAAACAATTCTATTGAATCAGTGGTTTAAAAAATCACTTGATTTCATCTACATGTAGTCTACCTCACTTGGTCAATGGTACATTAATACTGAAGACACGTTAAAGGTGCATAGCTTGATTGATACAGCTGAGATATGTTGTTTGTGGATATATATGAAAACCGTGATATTCTTTGAACGGATTGAGCAATTTCAGTATTTTTTTTCATCTAAAAGTAGCTTATGAAATTGGCTTTCCAGTCATCATTATTGTTGGTGCTACATATGTTTTTGAATATGAAATATATTTTTGGGGTTTTGGGTTCGGATTTTGTTGACTCACCCTGTATGAGAACAGTTCTTCATTGGCATGTTTGTTTCATAAAAATGTTTTTTATTTCAAAACTGGCAGCACTGATCCTTGTTTGACTAATATAGTGTTTGATTGAAGGTCCTTCATACAAGGTGGAGAACAGAAATCAGGCCTTGCACCTTTAAAAGGTATTATATAATAGGCTATCAGCTTCGGTCCAAAAATTGGGCCACTGGTATCAAATGATCAAAAGGAGCAGTGTTCATAGCGATTTTTGGCAAGGTATGCAAATCTAGAGTTGGATAATGTGTGATAGCTTTGCAGTGTGAGCGGTGGCAGTTTTTTGGGTGTGATCACTGATAATTTTTTTTTTCAAAATTGCGGCCAATATGCTTGTTACCGGATTAATTAAACATGTACATGGTAACAAGCATGTACTGGCTGCAGTGTTTTTTTAACGTGATAGCAAACAAAAAGCTGCCACCACTGCAATTGCTTTCACATATTTTCCAACTACAGGAGTGCATACCTTACCAAAAATCACAACGAGCATTATTCCCCTCATTTGATACCAACCAAAGCCCCAGGCTGTTGGCCTATAAAACTTAATCTAAATATTTTGTGGAGAAATGTTAGGAATAAATGCTATCAATTGGGACTTTAATACACCTTTAGATGGTTCAGGTAAGCCTACATGTACACCAGCACAGTTGATTCACAATATTACTGTAAACAGATCAATTAGGAATGATTAAAGCGAACGTGAGTGTGCTGTCTTTCAAGGGAATGTACAACATTTGCTTTTGCTACAATTTTCAGAAATAAATTGAGTTGGAGGAATAGTATGTTATAGCAGATATTGTTAATCTGATTTTGTTCACGTTTTGGGCTTGTAGATGCTGGAAAACCAAGAAAACAAATCATGTTCTTGTAGTCTGGTTCCCTGACCCCTTAAGATGAACCAGAGAAATGTATAGACTTTGGGGAAAGGTCAGCGAATCAGTCTGGCAGGCTTGTACCCCTTCACAGGTGTTTAATCAATTATAAAGAAAATGCGGAACAACTGTGGTGAAAAATTCGGAACAGTTTAAAAAAAAATGATGCGATTTAAATCAGGATTTTAATCGCTGAAATTAACGGTATGTCCTAATGACTAATCCATTCTTCTTCAGGTCACTCAGTGACTCATCAATATGGTTCTTGTCTTCCTCTGTCAGGTGACAGTCTATGAGGTACAGCCACTGAAGGTGCAGCAGCTGCTTTACCTCCATGCACCACAATGCTGCTGTACCACCCAGGTTATTATAAGAAAGATTCAATTCACCCAAGTTGGGTAGATCCCTGAGTGACTCAGCAACATGTTTGATGTCCTGTCCATTCAATGAGCATTCACCCAAGTTCAGCTTTGTGAGGGACTTCAACTGCTTCAAATGCATACACCAAAATGCTGCTGTACCACCCAGTTTACTACTACAAAGACTCAATTCAACCAAGTTGGGTAGATCCCCGAGTGACTCAGCAATTTGTTTGATGTCCTGTCCATTCAATGAGCATCGACTCAATTCCAGCTTTGTGAGGGACTTCAACTGCTTCAAATGCATGCACCATAATGCTGCTGTACCACCCAGGTTATTACCAGTAAGACTCAATTCACCCAAGTTGGTTAGATCCCGGAGTGATTCAGCAATTTGTTTCATGTCCTGTCCATTCAATGAGCAGTGACCCAGGTCCAGCTTTGTGAGGGACTTCAACTGCTTCAAATGCGTGCACCATAATGCTGCTGTGCCACCCAGGTCATTATTTAGCTCAAGACTCAATTCAACCAAGTTGGGTAGATCCCCGAGTGATTCAGCAATTTGTTTGATGTCCTGTCCATTCAATGAGCATTCACTCAAGACCAGCTTCGTGAGGGACTTCAACTGCTTCAAATGCATGCACCATGATGCTGCTGTACCACCCAGGTCAGTACCAAAAATACGCAATTTAGGTACCAAGTTGGGTAGATGCCTGAGCAACTTAGCAGTATCTGCATTGTTCATGAAACTTACATCACGAAGATTTGTCATTGCACACAAGATAACAGCCAACTCTTCAATAAACCATGTCCATTGACAAAAGCGTACATGTAATGTATGTACCTTAGCAAGGTAAGCATTTCCACTGTCTTTTGTCTGTTCAGCAACACATTTCACAAAGTATATGACTGAGTTCAGACAATCCCTGTCAAGCCTATGAATACGAAATTCATCTGTTATGAATGAATGTATGAATTCCTCTGGAGGCAAACGTTTGGATTGACCTTCAAAGAAACAATGAAGTGCCAACTGACCCATCTTTGATTTGAATGACAACTTCTTCGGATACGTCAACTGAAATTCCTTCATAATCTCATATGTACATGCCTCATTGTCACCACAACAAAAGCGCAGAAGATACTCAAACGTCCTTGCACCCTTTGACATGATTTCATTCAAAATCTTGTGAAATTTCTCTGGGTCTGCTTTTAACAAGCTTTGCAAGTAAGCAGCAGCATAGAACTCCTGGAATGTCTTGTGAAAAAACTGAATACAGTTGTGAGTCTGTAGTCCCTTGCGGTCTGTCTGTTTGGTCAGAATACCTGCTTTCAGAGCACGCTCAAGCACAATCGACTTAAAGTCACTTTCTTTGAAAGAGAGTGACTGATCTTGAGAAAGAAGACCATGCAACGCAACCTTGCCAATTTCAATCATATCTTTTGCTGAGTCCAATGATTTTCTTTTGAAGATGTAGAGAACTCCATTACGATACAGACATGTCATTGTTTCTGGGAGTGTGCAGTCTTCTCTCCATAGTACACACATCAAAAGAAGAAGCATTGGACTTGCAGCTAAAGCAGACAGAACGCCTGATGATCTAATCTTTTTAAGAAGCCCCTTGGCCTTGTCAGGTTCAGCTGTGTAAAATTTATTAACATACTCGGTGACATCTTTCCTACTGAAACCTATGACCTCGACATGTGTGAATGGGTCCTGAACCAGTTCCTCTGATACAAGTCTGTCAAAGTGTGAGGGGCGGGTTGTTACAAGTACAGTACAACCCCTCAACACCTTACCACTTAGGATCTCCAGAATGGAACCAAATGAGGATTCACACAAGGAGGTAGTCATGAGCTCATCAAACCCATCTAGTAAAACGAGGACACTTCCAGGACTGTTCTTGATAAACATGTCCAGGGCACCTCTTTCAATACTTACATCTTTAGCCAAGATTTTGTCAAAGACTGCATCAACAAGATCTGAACTCTGCTCCAGTGCGTACATTTTCAACAGGAAGACAAGTTTATACTTCCGTAGTACCTGACTAGAACCAACTGCCCAATCATATGCCATTTTGTCAAACAGTGTGGTCTTTCCTCTACCAGCCAGCCCAGTTAAAACAGCTATTAGGATCGGGTCTCCCTCTTTTGTCTTACATTGTAATATATCATCATATGATGCCAGCTTGACGCTGTCCTTACCAAGTATTAACTGTAACTTTGTGTAGATTTCTGTAATGTGTTTCCTGTCATCACCCACCCATGGAAGCACTTTAACAAAGCCACCTTTTCCCCTGTAGTATGACTTCAGGGCATCTTCACAGCAATCAGCAGCATCTTGGGCTGGACTGTCAAGCTTCATCTTTTTGGGTGTGCTGCATCCTACAATGTTGAAATGAGCATAGATCGAGTTGAATGATTTAATCATACAATGCACTGTGGCATCCAACCAATGAATTGGCTCCTTGTCTGTAGAAGGTAACATTTCGAGCTGAAATATTTGCTCATTGTTTGCAAAAAAGTTAAAGCACTACTGCTTGTTGCTTTGTGAGCTTGGGAGGATAAATCTTGACAGGATTGAAATAACTTCCCGTTCACTGATGCATGAATCTTAACCACTCACACAATAAGTGTTGTAAAAGCTCTGCAATTAATAACATATGATAAGTATATTTTCATAAAACAAGTCCTATTTTCAAAGAGACAAATTCTGGGGAAAAAAAAGATGTTGTGCTTTTAAACTGTGATGTACATTACATCGCAGAGCTGACATACCGACTAAAATAAGTGAAAAGTCTGTTTCGAGTAATTCGTTTGAAGTTGGACTTTTTTTCTGAGCTTCATATTTCACCCTTAATGTTTCGATAATAACCCTTCTGGTGTATATTCGAAATAAAATAGGAAACGTAGTATCCATCTGGTTACTTATTTAATCAGAGAAGTTGTGCAATATGTTTTTATTTGATCGTTAACGTATTCATCAGTTTGTCAAATTACAAAATCTCTAATAGCCGGTTGTTCTCCACACTATTTGTATGCTATTCGTCAGTTTGTCAAATTCGTCAAATTCCGTATTCGTCACTATATCAAATTATGGATTGGTATTATGACTGATCCACCACAGGCGGGGCTCCGAATCTCAACATCCAGACAAGAATTAAGAATATTGGCATAAACATACTTTAGAGAGCAACCTTCAAAAACCACCAAAACCACAAAATCTCAAACTCGCCAAAATGGTCAATTCGCCGGTTTGTCAGCTCTGAGACGATTAAAGGGACATAATAGCCATGGAGTGCTGTGGCCTCGTGGTTATAAGGGCACTGATTCGTGGTCTGCGGGTAAAGCAGGTTGTGGGTTCGAGTCCTGGCGGGGTCATGGTGTGTGTGCCCTTGGGCAAGGCACTTTGTCACTCATTGCTTCTCTCCACCCAGGAGTAAATGGGTACCTATGAGGGCAGTGATATGTGATTGAATTAGCTTCCTTGCGCCTAACAGGCTGCATCGAGCTGTATACTCCCCAGGGAGCTGAGATGGTATATGGAATGTTTAATTGGCCCAATGATTAGGGGTAATAATAATGTAAAGCGCTTTGATCTTAGTTAAAAGCGCTATATAAGAACCTGTTATTATTAATACAACCAATTGGGCTACAAAAAGTGTTTTAAATATTAATTATTGGAAAAAAATATTTTAAAGTAGGATATAATACATGTGTTCACACAACCATCCTTTAAAAACTGGGTGTTTTTGTGTTATTCTTGCAAGAATCAGGGGAGAACAAATTTCCGGGGTCAAAATGTTGACTCTCAAAACTTGAGCTGTTGAGTGCTACCCTCAGCCTTATAGTTGCAAATCTGCCACACAGAAGTTCGCATTCTGCAGACGTGTAACAAACAACATCTGTGTATTGGTGCTGTGTGTATTATGTGATGGACACACAATGTGCACGATACATTGAATAGACTGGGCTTGAAATATGTATGTGTATACCACAAAATGTCCACCGCGTCCAAGGTAAAAAATTAACCAGGTTTTTTTCTTTTTTTTTCTCTGGAACGATAAGACATTAGGTTAGTTTCCTTTCCAGACCTTTGTACTAGAATAAGTAAACAATCAAAAATATGATTTTGGGGGGATTTCAGGCAGCAATGCCCCTTTGACAAAGAACAAATCCTTGTTGTCCCATCATACAAGTGTTAGACTATAGTCTGTAAAGAATGAATACATTTTACATCTGATTTGGAGTTGGTACATTCATTGATAATTACCTTGTGCACCTGAGGCCACATGTGATGTTGGTGGTTGCTGTGATGTACTTGGTGGATTCTCTGATATGTCAACTGATGGATGACCAGAGTGGTGTGATGCATGTGCACCATCTTCAATCAAATCAAAAATGAGAAGGATAATTATTCATTGCCAAAAAAAGGTAGTCAAGCACATTATCCTTTATTAGGCAATGAACCCTGCCAGTGGGAAGTCAATATTTAGAGCAGTATCACAGTAAAACCCTGAAAGTCAGTTTCAAGTGAAGGGATGTTAACTGTGTCACACACATAGTCACTGCACAAAACAACAGCTGCGTGGCCAGGCACAATGAAGTGTGACTGAAATTACATTCTTGCCCACAATAAGCTTCACCACACACAACAATTATGCTGTAATTTGAAGTGTTATGCAAACCTACAGAAGATCAAATGAATTACCAGTCAAAGTGCAGAAGACTAGGAGGGTTGCTTAATTGCGAGAGTGGCTGTGCTACATGTATTTATTGAAAACATAAGTGATTTCATTCAATTGATGTAATGTAATGGTCAGTTAAATAGGCATTAATAAATACCTTGGAGAGTTGATGGTTTCTGATTGGTCGAGACTCGATCACGTGGCCGGTCATTAACGGTGATAATGGACCGGCTTCAAAGATCAAGCGAATAAATGGCCCCTGAACCAGCATTGATCAAGCCCCGTTCAGCCCCATGCAAGCCAATGATTGGTCAAAATATAGTAACAGTCCTGCGGTAGCTTTTAACAATTGAGCACTGCACATGCGCTCAACCCCCATCGCGTGAGACTGACGCGCGCGTACGCAACACAGTTGCTAGGGATGTGTGCGTGCGCGCGCGTAAGGAAGTTTTGAAACGACATCGTACAGCAGTGCAGTATATACTGAGGATGTTTACGACGTAAGCGTAGATCTACGATTTATTTTCTGTGAAACACTTCACCCACCGACATATTTACCTTTCCTAAACCAAGCATCTTTGTAATTCCGGACACAAGGAATGTGTAAACGAGATTTCAGCTTCCTCCAAGATATGAAAACATTGTTGTAATTTGTTTCGCTACGGCAGCAGTTTCTGTTGAGTTTACGTCGTTATAGCTGTTAAGCTAAAATATGGCCCATATGAACATGAACACAAAAAAGTCTGGAAATATCACCGGGAAAAAGTCACAAAATTGGAGCATTTTAACTGTTTATTTCATTATAAAGGTATTTATTAATGGGAATAACAGTGTGAGGATCCGGTCTTCACTGCGTGATAATGACTGGGTGTGGGGGTGACCGCTGTTAATGGACCGAGACGAAGTCGAGGTCCATTAGTACTATAGGTCTCTGATTTGATGAAGTTGATGCATGGCGATATCTGCACAAACTTTACACCTGCCAAAATGGCCAACTGTCTAATATTTGGTGGAAGCAACTCCATAGACAAACAGTAATCTTGATATTTGTCCTTAATTGGAAGCTTCATCAAAAAACTCTTTCAATTACATAGGCATTAAATTACACTTATCGAGAAATAAGCAAACAGGAGCAGTGATCATGTAGTTATAGGCCATACCAGTATAAGACAACAAAATCTACTTTAATTTATTTGACTTAACACCAAACTAGTTGGCGACTAAGAACATGAAAGTATGTCATAGAAAGAGGGCAGGGTTTCGAATTTTTGAGGAAAATTGGCGGTAAATGACAATGACAAAATGCAACAAGAAAATAAAGATGGCGACTTCCACGATGTACCGTGAGCGCGCAAGGCGCACTGAACGATACCTTCCTGTAAAGCTCGTACAAAAATTGTTCTTTCTACCCCAAAACTTTTAAACACTACAAAACAGTCAATTATAGAATTGAGAGAAGTCTGCTGTGGTGGAAAAGGTCATTTCTGAATGATAAACACCCATGACCTTATTTTTGCCCAAATGTATAAAGAGGGGCCGTAGTAATTTGATCGCTATAGGAGTAGGAAATCGCACAGAAAGTGTTGTCATCTACCTTTTGATTGGTAGATATTGATGGTGCAATCTTTTGGGTTGAAGATGGGTACGTGTCCAGAGCCAGATATCTGATGCACTGACTGCTGCAATTGATTGACTGCTGCAACTGGCATCATGTCTGGAAAATGAGAATGTCTCTTATATTACACAACGCCGGAATAAATCCCCCTCATCTGATTGGTGGGTCATTGATCACTTGATTGGATTATTCATACCAACCCACGGCCCCACAACACTGCAAAAATAGAAGTTCCATTCCACAGTCACACTAGTGGTGGCAGCTCAGATATGGCTCTAACCTAGCAGATGATCAGAGGATTTATTAAGACGTTGTATAAAACAAATAATGAATGTTTCACATCCGTCCATTGAAGGTAAAGAATAGTTTCATGAGGTGACAGGTGGAATTATTCTTACCAATGCATTCATACATGTCATAACCATTATTTGTAAAAACTATTATACCATGGAATTGCTACGAAACAATCAATGAAGTCAAGAAGTAAAGAAAGTGAAGAGCTCCTTGCACTTCAATCAGATGTCATAACCTGAAAAATTGTTGACATTCTTATTTTTGCACAAACTGTCAAGTATGAACAAATCAACAGTGAAATGTATCCATGAATAACCATGCATACGGTTTGCTTACAGCCAGGGTTTATTGCTCACCTGTTGTCTGGTCCTGATTGTCTGGTCTCCTCATCAAGGCCAGTGCTTGGTCGTGAGTCTCTACACAGTCTCCATCAGCAACCTGCTCCTGTCTCTCGGCAACTTGTGTTGGCATCATCTCGTCTTGTTCAGCCATTTTGATGATATCTGATGGAAGAATTGAGCCATTTGCAATTGACCTTTGCTTGGCATTTTTTAATATCAAATGATATTATTTACCTTGTGTAATGTAATTAGCCATATAGACTACATGTTCCCATTTCCTTGTATTGGTCATTGACCTCTGTAGAGGGCAGTATTCATAAAAAGTTGGTTTCGGACTGGGCGGGGTCAAAACAGGAGGGCTTTGGGGTCCTCTGGTGTGATTTGTCTCCCTCATATTATGTTAGTGGATCAAAACGAGCGTCAGAAACCCAATGTTTCACAACCCTTTACAACCTTTTACTTGCAAAACGTAAGGAAAATGTGTGCATATTAATATCAATTGTATACCTCACATTTTTATAACTGTTGATACATAAAAACTGAGATCAGGGCACTTGTGGACAATGCAGCAGCTCCTGCTAATTGTGGATGAGCCTTATACATGTACAAGCATGATCTGCATATTGCTCATCTTTAGTTGTGGAACTTTAGCCCCCCCCCCCCCACCCCACCTGTGGTAAAAACTAGGTAATCCTTACTTTTAGGACACCTCTATTTTGCACGAGTTCTGTTCAAAACTGACTTTTGCAGATGACTGTCCAGTACCAAAGTGACTTTTGCAGGCTAAAGAAGTCTTTTTTCTTCAGACAAACTCATGTTAGTTATAATTTTGAAAGCACTTTCAAAGAAAATGTGACTTTCCTACCTTTTTTTGCAGTTCGCCATCTTGCTTTTTGAGTGGTCGGGCACAACCCGACCACTCTTTGGATCTGTTACGATTAATTGAGTGGTCGGGCACAACCCGACCACTCTCTGTTATTGTTCTGGTAAATCTTTTTTTTTTTTTTCCGGACAATACTTCTCCGCGGCTTTTCTCTTAAACGGTATATGGTATGAACTTGTAACTTTCAATATATATCGACCCTCATCCGAAGTGGTGCATATTACTCTGACGTCATGATTACGTCATCAGGTGTCAAATTACAAGTGATTTTATCTGAAAAAGTGACCAATTACTTTCACCTATAACTTTTGAACTAAACATTCAATGATGTTTGTATTCTGTAAATCAGATAGACCATTAATCGCTTAACAGTTTTTGTCGTGTACGTGAACTCGCTTGACCTTTACTTCCGGGTCTACCAGAAGGTCAAAGTTAGGTGAATTCAAAATGAAGACGTAAGCCTGAAATCAAAACAAAGCAACATTTCTTCCGAACGGTTCACGGTATGATCACAAAACCTTGTGTGAACTTGTACCGTGTTACGAAGATGTTATAAATTTTGTTACGTCATCATGACGTCATCAGGTATCAAATTACAAGCGATTTAAGGGCAAATTTTGACAAAATAGTTTGCTTTATATCTTTTGAACTAAATACAGTATCGTGTTCGTTTTTTCGTGAGGTTGTAGACTATGCCGTGAGAAACATTTCGTGTTCCCGGACGCAAAACCGCTTGACCTTTACTTCCGGTGTTACCGGAAGTGCAACAAAAACTGAATCTAACTCAAAAGCGGAAGCATTTCACTACAGACATATATTATGAAAGTGTTTAGTGAGGAATGCAAGATGCAAAAAACAGTGTGATGACGTCATCATCCGAAAGGGCGCCCCTATCGGCACATAAAATAGAGTTTCTCTTCTTTAATTGTAAAACCATCCGTCCAAATTTTACCAAATCGCCCCTTGACATTCTCTGATTAACCACAGATACCTTGGCAAGGTTTCAAATTCATGACGTCATCGAACCGGAAGTTGCCTTAAGGAGAATTTGAAAAAGATCATAGTTTTAATTTAATTCTGTCATTTGATCCCTGTCATATCTTCGAAGTCCAAATAATGATATCCATTACAATGTTCACCTTTGGATCTCTAATGCTGTGACGTCATCAAACCGGAAGTTAGGTGTTATCAATACGTCATCAATCCGGAAGTTAGGTGTTATTAATACAAACAATTATATTTCCCATATTTTCATACGTTATTTTAACTTAACAATGAGAAATTATCCTCTCCGAACTTCATCAGTATTCACTCACCATTTTTGACTGATGACGTCATCAAACCAGAAATAACTTTTTGTGCACATAGAATGTTTACTGAAATTTATTACACCGTTAAAGATACCTTTTTGAAACATTGATTGTGCTTGAAGGGATTTAATGTCCTGATCCTTTTTTCTACATAAACATATATTCTTAACTTAGCTGGGCAGTGTATAATGAAAAGGCTGTCTGCCCGACCACTCTGCGTTTGTAACTAAACAAACGCGAAACTCTAGTCTTTCTTTCTTTCTTTCTTTCTTTTTTTTTCCGGACAATACTTCTCCGCGGGTTTTCTCTTAAACGGTAAATGGTATGAACTTGTAACTTTCAATATATATCGACCCTCATCTGAAGTGGTGCATATTACTCTGACGTCACGATTACGTCATCGGGTGTCAAATTACAAGCGATTTGAGAGGAAAAAAGGGCCAAATACTTTCACCTATAACTCTTAAACAAAATGATCAAATATGTTCCAACTTTGTAATCAGATAGACCATTAGGTGATCAACACTTTTTGTCGTGAACGTGAACTCGCTTGACCTTTACTTCCGGGTCCACCGGAAGGTCAAAGTTACGTGAATTTAGCCTGAAATCAAAACAAAGCACAATTTCTTCCACACGGTTTACGGTATGATCATAAAACCTACTGTGAACTTGTACCATGTTATAACTGTTGTTACGTCATCATGACGTCATCAGGTATCAAATTACAAGCGATTTGATTGCACGATTTGACAAAATACTTTGACCTATATCTCTTGAACTAAATTGGGTATCGTGTTCGTTTTTTCGTGAGGTTGTAGACGGTGCCTTGAGCAACGTTTATTATTCCCGGGCACAAAACTGCTTGACCTTTACTTCCGGTGTTACCGGAAGTTCAATAGAAACTGAATCTAACTCTAAAACGGAAGCATTTTTGTACAGACAAATACATTATGGAAGTGTTAAGTGAGGAATGCCAATCACAAAAACATTATTTTGACGTCATCCACGAAAGGGCGCCCTCCAGCGGTACATGGAAAACAGTTTAATCTTTTAAAATGTTAAAACCCTCAATCAAATTTTTATGATATAATTGCCCCTATATATCCCGTGAGCAACCACAAATGAATTTGCAAGGTTTCATAATCATGACGTCATCAGACCGGAAGTTACTGTAGGGAGAATTCAACAATGACCATTTTATGTGTAAAGTTAAATCCATCATTTGATCCCTGTCTCATGACTTTGTTTTTTGCCCCCCCCCAAAAAAAAATGACATCTGTTACACTTTATATTGACCTTTTGCTTCCAAATACTGTGACGTCATCAAACTGGAATTTAGCTGTTATTATTACATACACTTAATTTCCATATTTCCATGCGTTATTTTACTTAATGATTAACAAGTGTCCTCCCTTCCCTGTTTTGACTGATGACGCCATCAAACCGGAAATAACTTGTACTCAAACTGTTTACTGAAATTTATCACACCTTAAAAGACGCATTCTTTTTGTAAAAACTAATTGGTACTGGAAATGTTGAAGTTCTTGGTCCTTTTTTTCTGACATAAACATATTCATAACTTAATTGGACAATGTCTAATGAAATGGTTGTCTACCCGACCACTCTGCGTTTGTAACAACAAACGCGAACCTCTAGTTAAATTTATTTTCTGTTTGTCATCGTCGTCTTTAACCCCTCATAAATCAAAACCCTGCCCTCTTTCTACAAAATCAAACCTGCTGATATTCAAGAGGTGTCATTGTCAAATGTTCAAATGTGTCAATAAATATCAGAATGTCACTTTTGAGTGTCATTTAGTCAGGGGTTTTGGTCAGTCTTTTAACCTTATATAGGAAAGGGGTCCTAAAAGTAAGGATTACCAAAAACTATGACGGTTACATTGTTCCATGAAGGTCGAGAGACACGCATAATTGTGAGGTATGCGTGGAGTCCACTTACTTTAGAGCAAAATAGTATAAATTTTAAACATCCATACTCTGCTATACTTACCTTTTCAACAGGAGTCCAGTTCTCTTGTTAGTATTTCACAGTAGTTTCGAAATTATAAGTCAGAAACCTGCCAAGCGTGAAGCCACATTCATCCAGTCTGGTTTCTGATTGCCGGCCACACCTTAATTGCAAGCTAATTCACAAAGCTGAGGTACATATATAATAGCTGGCCGCACTGCGCATGCGGAACAATCATCCGATGGCAATACCATTAACTAATAGGTATTTTTTTTAAATGGGAAAATACATTTCTCATGCTTGTAACCATCCCCTCCAAAAAAAAAAACAGTTTTAATTGCTGGAACAACATTCAGGATTTCACATTTGAATTTTTGGTCTTCAATTATGCAAACCTTGCATTTGGTGTAATTTAGCTGTAATTGTTGGCTTACATACTGTAGAATAATTTACACAACCATTTCTATGGAATCTTCCCAAAATTTGTTTAAACAAACAAGGAAATAAAATTCTGGTGAGTGTTCATCAGGTAGAGACTTTGCACTCATGATCTCCAGCTCTGAGTTCTTTTATGGCAGCCAATATACTGCATTGACATTCATCGATTGTATACAAATATGGAGATCAAAGGTTGTTAAAAATATTATCAGCATCTTGCATCATGTCAGGGCATGCTAGAACTGTGGGGAAAATTGTTACACAAAGTCCTAGCTATAGCCACAAATAATTCAAATCCTATTTCCTTTTCATAGATCTATGTCTCCGATATTTTCTCTTCTTTTTATTTCTTACATTAACTAGTTTTTCTGTTCGAAAAGCAACATGCATATATACATGTATACTTGCATGTGTATTCGTATTGCACATTGTCCATTGAAATTGTATGTATGCTAACTGCAGTTAGCGTTTGAAATGGATGGCGCTTGTAATACGCATGGGATTATACGCATGGCATGGGATTTGTTTAAGAAATCATAAAGTGGTGGGGTAAAAGACACATTTTAGGCCCCCCCCCCCCCCCAAAAAAGTCTCCGGTTTCTGGTATGGAGCTTGCCCAAAAAGTGGTGCGGCGACGCGGCTTTTTTTTTTTTTTACCTGTTTTTTTTGCTTCAAATGTCGGCTGATGACTGCAAATGGTGCCCGACTAAACTTAGTGCAAATATTATGGGAGACCAGAGAGGCCACATAAAGCTTATTCTCGATCATAACCCCATCTAAAAACACGATAAAATTGTGCAGCAGCAGGATTCCAGTCAAACCAGTGAGTTTGGCGGTTTTGAGACATCATCTTTCATTGAAAAAAAACCTTTTTCATTTTGCCAACGCGCATGGCTAAGGCGACGCGCGTGCATACCAGAAACCGGAGACTTTTTTTTTTGGCCTTAATGGTTAGCCTTAAAAGGAAAGTTTGTATATGAATCTTCAGACAAGCTACGAGGTGTGTTGAATAAAATTATTTAATTTTCCTTTAAGTTTAAAGCATTGAACATTCATACCTCAAGTTAAATCTTGTTAATGTTTATTTCATAAAATGTGTACTTTGCCGAAGCTTATCCAAATATAAATGAGAATTAATTTTTTTGCTCGCAAATCTACCGCATGCTCGCTATTTGAGCTTTTACGTCCGACAAGTGCACAGAGAATACTTACACATGGATTTTCAAAGTGCACGCCACGGATAGACAACAGATAAATGCACAACACAATACGTCCATCGAAAACGGACTACATTTGTACATGGATTTTTAGCCTATTAGTCCCTCCATGGTTTTATTGATCCTTCAGTGAATTAACACAATGCAATACATGTACAATATGTAGAACAAAAATAATGGATTGTGATGAATAGTTGAGCTTTTTTGTGAGCAGGGTCTAAACGGATCAATCACAAGGTATCCTGCAAAATGCACAATTCATGCAAGAACAGGCAGCTTTGTGATTGCTTCATATGGAAATAGCCCACTATAAATTATAAGTCATCTCATTAAATATCTGGGTAAAGTTATGGACAAGTTTATCAACCCCTTGCTTGGGATTTTAGTTGCAGAATTCTTCATAACCTCCCTTTGATCTTCACAACTTCCCCTTGATCTTCACAACTTCCCTTTGATCTTCATAACCTCCCTCTGATCTTCACAACTTCCCTTTGATCTTCACAACTTCCCTTTGATCTTCATAACTACACTTTGATCTTAACAACTTCCCTATGATCTTCACAACTTCCTTCTGATCTTCATAACTTCCCGATGATCTTAACAACTTCCCTTTGATCTTCACAACTTCCCTTTGATCTTCATAACTTCCCTATGATCTTCATAACTTCCCTTTGATCTTCACAACTTCCCCTTGATCTTCACAACTTCCCTTTGATCTTCACAACCTCCCTTTGATCTTCACAACTTCCCTTTGATCTTCATAACTTCCCTTTGATCTTAACAACTTCCCTATGATCTTTACAACTTCCCTCTGATCTTCATAACTTCCTGATGATCTTAACAACTTCCCTTTGATCTTCACAACTTCCCTTTGATCTTCATAACTTCCCGATGATCTTAAAAACTTCCCTATGATCTTCACAACTTCCCTCTGATCTTCACAACTTCCCTTTGATCTTCACAACTTCCCTATGATCTTCACAACTTCCCTCTGATCTTCACAACTTCCCTCTGATCTTCACAACTTCCCTTTGATCTTCACAACTTCCTTATGATCTTCACAACTTCCCTATGATCTTCACAACTTCCCTTTGATCTTCACAACTTCCCTATGATCTTCACAACTTCCCGATGATCTTCACATCTTCCCTTTGATGTTCACAACTTCCCTTTGATCTTCACAACTTCCTTATGATCTTCACAACTTCCCTATGATCTTCACAACTTCCCTTTGATCTTCATAACTTCCCACTGATCTTCACAACTTCCCTTTGATCTTCATAACTTCCCTATGATCTTCACAACTTCCCGATGATCTTCACATCTTCCCTTTGATCTTCACAACTTCCCCTTGATCTTCACAACTCCCTGATGATCTTCACATCTTCTCTTTGATCTTCACAAATTCCCTATGATCTTCACAACTTCCCTTTGATCTTCACAACTTCCGTATGATCTTCACAACTCCCCTCTGATCTTCACAACTTCCCTCTGATCTTCACAACCTCCCTTTGATCTTCACAACTTCCTTATGATCTTCACAACTTCCCCTTGATCTTCACAACTTCCCTCTGATCTTCACAACTTCCCTATGATCTTCACAACTTCCCGATGATCTTCACATCTTCCCTTTGATCTTCACAACTTCCCTTTGATCTTCACAACTTCCCTATGATCTTCATAACTTCCCACTGATCTTCACAACTTCCCTTTGATCTTCATAACTTCCCACTGATCTTCACAACTTCCCTATGATCTTCATAACTTCCCTTTGATCTTCACAACTTCCCTATGATCTTCATAACTTCCCACTGATCTTCACAACTTCCCTTTGATCTTCATAACTTCCCTATGATCTTCACAACTTCCAAATGATCTTCACATCTTCCCTTTGATTTTTCACAACTTCCCTATGATCTTCATAACTTCTCTTTGATCTTTTAACTGCATAAAATAATTGAAGTGGCTGCCATGAGTGCAAAGTCTCCATGAGTCAACAGCACTGGAGTGCTGTTTTCAGAGTAAATAATTTTTGGTAGATTCTGTTAATCTTAAGTTAGCTAACAATTACGGCAAAATTGCACCAAATGCAATATTTGCATGATACAGAAATAAAACAAAAATGAACTGTAAAAACCATATTTTCCTCCAGCAATAATAAAGGTTGTTTTTAAGGGGACGGTTATAAGCACGAGGGATTTATTTCCACATTGAAAAAAAAAACACACTTTGTTTAAAGGGAATTCTACATTTGCAAACCTTTTAAAAACTATCAAGTCATCACGAAATTACTGAACTGTTAAGAAACGTCAGTCTAAGCATCCTGTAAAATCGTGGCACCTCAGGTGTGCTGACATTTCCAAGAAAAGTATATTTTTGTATCAATTTCCAATGCCTGTCGGCCGACCAGCCTTGGAAATAAACTTGTTTTTTCAAAATACTGCTCCCAATTTATCATATTTAGTTAGTCCTTATTTTCTTTGCAATTGATTACACACCTGTGATGAACGGCTACGTCAAGCCAGCTAGACTGATTTCCTGACCTTACAATTCCCCGATGTCTATACACAATGCTTCGTTTCATCTTAAAAGGGGTCAGGGAACGAGACTACTAGAACATGATTGTTTTTTCTTGGTTTTTCCATGAACCCAAAACATCAAACAAATCAGTGTAACAATATTTGCTATAAAATACTAACCCCCCAAATCCAGCCATTTCTGAAATTACAGCAAAAGAAAATGTTGTATATTCATGTTGTATATGATTTTTTGCATGTGTGCCACCAGCTATAGGCCTATATCTTGGTGATTTAATTTGAGGTGTGACAGACAGAAATTTGGATCAATGAAAGTCAGGCCTGTGTGAAGTCTAGCTCTGACATCACATAATATGCACAGACAATAGACAGACCTGTTTGGAGACTAGCTCTGATAGCTTCCTTCATCTGTACCTCAGACTCAACCTCTCTGCATTCTGATTGCCTGTAAGGTCTGCCCCTTCCACTGGTGCCTGTGCATCTGTACACCAGCTACGACCAGGTCAAACTGAACCTTAAAAGATATTTTAGAAAATGATTTTAATATTTTGGAAGAAAATTCATTTCATTCTGATTAAAACAAAATATTACCTTGAAAAGCTCTGCCTTCAACTACTGCTGCCAAGGAGTTCTCATTGTTGCGGTTGAAATGATATAGCTAATTTCGGATATTCTGTGGGCATTTTGGCTTTCATTGTGAAAATTACCAGCATCTGAAGTGAGACCTCAGACTCTTCAGAATAATTTTCCATACCCAAGTACAATGTACAAGCTTTTTTTGAAACAATAGCAGTTCAGACTATATACACTGCGTCTGAATGGAGTACTGGTATAAAACATGGAAATCTTGATCTGCTCATAAAATATTGCAGAAAATATTGCAGAAACGCAGCTGAGAAACCAGTCACAAGCGATTTACATTCATGAAATCATGAAATTGGCAGATGTCAACATTCATGGGTCTGCTAAGCACAGACTGTGCTATACAGGACTAGGAGAAGCAATTTTTGTGTGTGTGGAAAAAAACAGGTTACCAGTACCACTTTACCAGCCAAAAGTCTGACATGTTTGTCACTTGGGATTGGCTCCAAAGTAATTTTTATTGAGGAAATACTTTGGTAAATAAGCAATATTTCCTGCGTAGCAGCTCCATGACACTGACGCAATTTCAATCGGCTCTGATGGCCCTCACAGCACCCTCAACAGTGGGTGCAAAGACACATTAAAACAAAAGTTCTACTTAAATGTTGATGACAAGGTTCAAGCAAAAGACTTACCCTTGCTAGCTGTCTCGGTGTCAAGAACGAGCTCCGCCAAGCACAAAAAGTGGGATGGAACGAGGGAAACCCATGACATACATTACATGTATGGGGTGCCAGCTGGAGTGGCCAAAACCTTCAAGGCAAAAATGACCCATGGAAAAGGGAAACACTTATAACAGCTAGCTTACACTAGTTATCTAAAACAGTTGTAAGCGGGGCTAACATGGGGTGGCTGGAATGGATGGCAGATGGTACACGTACAGCACATTAACAAATTTTCAATCAACAAATGAAGTTCCTGTAGAATTATCAGTAGGAAAACTTAATGAATAATTGAACATATAGCCTAGAAACATAAAAAAATACAGATACGCTCCAATTAACTACTAAGATTAAACATAGGTGAAAAGATAAAAAAAAAAAAAAAAAAACACCCAGAAATTCCTTTAAAAATAATTATAACTCAAGGTATCCCCTAGCTCTACTGAGTGGAGCGCTGGAACTTTGGTACCCTTGCACTGCGCTGGAACTTCCCGTACGGAGGGTACCGAAGTTCCAGCGCTCCACTCAGTAAAGAGCTAGGTATGTCTACATGTAATTGGACTTGGCATGTCTACATGTAATTAAAGATGGAACCTGTGCTACCAGAAATTGAGTGATGAAAAAATTCTAAACTCTGGGCTGTTTAGGCATCAAACTGAACATGCGCAGCCTCTGTTTTTTTTTCTCTTCAGTAACAAATCTTTGTCTGGTTTCATGTACATGTATGTATTGTCATTGTGACTCCGTATGACATTTTAGGGATTTGAACCAACCCTAGCCGTGCATGTTACATTGTGTCTGGATTCCAGTCTGGATCCCATCATGTTAACTGATGGGAATTTTGCTTTTCACCAGCATCATAAGAGTGTATGCTTTCTTAAGTGGAACTGGAATTCATCTCACTGTCTTTTACTTTTGAAGGATGGTTTCTAGAAACATTTCCCACTGCCTATCTTTTTACTTTTATCAGGGGAAGTATTTTAGGTTAAGGTAATGATGCTCAGTTCAGGAAGCTGCATAAAATTTGCATGAAATTCAAACTACGTTATAATGTTTGGTCCCACACATTTTATGCTTTCAAATATTTGAAAATGAAAGAAAAACTTGTCTGCAGTTTGATACCTCTTCCCATTTTTACAACAATTGATGTACATACATGTACATGTTTATTCTTGAATTGATGGACGTTAAAATAACCCTGCACATTCAGCAATATGCAGCAATGCAACTACATTGTAATAAATTTCAACCATTTCCTTTTTTTTAAACAATAATTCCCCTTTTAGCTTGTCGCGCCAATAGTTTCACCTGCAGCCCTTTGTAGACATAAAAACACAAGAAACCCACAATAAGCAATCAGTTACAAAAGTGTCTTTATTGAACTACATTGGCATACAACAATCTCATATTTTTTAGATGTGACATCAGATATAAAATGCAAGATGCAAACCCCTCCCCCCCATTTTTTTTCTTCGAAATACATTAATTTCATACCAGGAATAAGCATGAAGCTTAACTTTCACTTGAAACTCATCCATAAACACAAGGTATTAGTTAAGGAGGAAGTTTCAGCTGTCTTTTGAGATGAAGGAAAATGACCCCAACAAATCTATCTTGAGTACTGCAGCAAGAAAGTAACAACAATCTTTAGTAATAAAATAATAATATACTGTCAAACGTAAGAATCATTTGAGTTATCATTCTCACACCAAAATGCGGATTGCATTGCTGTTTGTTTTCGTAGTCGTCTTTGAATATATTTAAAGGTGACTTTGATATCAGAACAGCAATGCAATCCTCATTTTGGTAGATTGGTCCAAATCCATGTTAACTGTGTCAATTACAGAAAACTTACACGACAAAAATTGCATATATGTTGTGTCCTAACTTGGTGAAGCCTTTTTTAAAATCAGAGATTTACACTGACAGCCACAAATTACCGACAAAAGAATTATATTGATTTGCTTGAAACCTTGTGTATCATTAACTCAAATCCCATGCTTAAATTGTGTGTGACACAAGACAAAGATAAAAACCCACACTAGACTATGTCAGCCTGCTATGTCAGCATTACGCTAATGATGCGGGCATTCAGTGCATAATAAAGGCAACATTCATCTAGAAATAACAAACATCTGACCCATTGTAAACACTATACAATGTACATCATGCAATATGTGATTCTGGATATTAAAAAGATAACAAATCTGAGTTGTACTGGATCCAATGATGGCAAGTTTCATGATTCTTATGACTTGGTACAAAAGCAAGGCAAGTTGGCTGTTATAAAAAGTACATCAGGCTATATATATTAATACAAAATAGAAGTTATAAAAATAGAACAATCTGGCTCACTTTGCCCAATCTTCAGATGAGCAATATCAAATATTCACATAGTTTTGTTTGCATTTGAGACGGACCCTACTTGGATTGAAAAGTCATGCCATCTGACTTGATTTCTTTTATTTATTTATTCCATTTCTTTATACCCAGGGTGTGCCCAAACAGTTGTGAAAAAAACCTTCCATTGGGGCCCTGCATACATTACAAATTATCAAATAATGTTCAGCACAGTAAAACTCATAAGAAAAGTGCATTGGTGAAACAGACAACGAATATTAATACTTACAAACACAGGTATTTCAGAAATGTTTACAGAAATGATTGTACACTGCAGGTCAATCAGGTCAGTAGGCAATTTGCAGCAATACTCATTTAACAATTGATACAAAAATAGCAAAAATATAAAAATATAAATTACCTCTGCATATTTACAAACAATTTATCATGTAATGTACAATGATTACAGTTAATGAGAATGGCTGGTTGTATTTCTACATGTACATGTTAAGATAAGGATCCTCATTATTCACAGACTACAGATAGTTCTTGCAAATATCTCCCTCTCTGAAATATATTCTGGGTAACTAGCATTTGAACAAATTTCAACATTGTCAGTAGTGCCCCTTGGTACACTGTGCAAGGTGCAGTTAAACTATCCAATTCAGAAATCATTTGCTTGGGCAGATCTTTAGAAGTGTTGTCACAGAACTTGACAATGAGACTAACAAAATGTCACCACTAACCAGCACTTTGTGCTGGATATTTCCCCATCAATGTGGGAAGGTCCCAATTTGACTATAATGATTAATCTGAGCAGACAGTTCAAGTCAGTTGATGCAGCTAAGGGTTCAAACCTGACAAGGCCAAGGGACTTTCTGTATGGGCCGGGGAGACATTAAGGGGACAAAGGAATGTTGACTTTCAGTTGATGAGGGTGATTGAAATTGGCTTGGAGTCGGTACAAGATCTTCAAATGTATGAGAGGTAGTACAGGAAAGAAACACAGCAGCAGAAACAGAGAGACACATGAGGAGCTGATAGGCAGAATGTGTTCAAACAGAGGGTGGTAGATGACTGGGAATCACTCCCCCAGGGGAAACACAAACCAGCAGAGATAGACAGAGGCATGTTCAAGGAAAGATCCCCTCACAGCTGATAGGCTGAATGTGTCAGTCAGAGGGTGGTAGATGACTGGGACTCACTCCCCCAGGGGAAACACAAATCTTCACAAACATGACAACGGGACTCGCTTTCCCAAAGAAAACACAAAGTGTTATAAACACTCAAATGAAAATGTCAATGAAAGATCCCCTCACAGCTGGTGACTTTATAACAGAATGTGTTAAGTCAGAGGGTGGTAGATGGTTGGAACTCCAGTCCCCCTCCCCCCAAGAGGGGAAACAGAAAGTGTAGGAACCACTCAGACGTGAAAGAAAACAAGCCTTCACAAATAATATAGACAGCTTCACAAGACAACAATCACAGATTGCTGAACAGAATCTTACAACCAGATATTAACCTTTCCAGATTTGTAATGGGTGACAACACAGATAACACAGTTGACTGATAGAAGTGTACTGGACTTGCATGATGTTGCTGAGTCACCATGTCTTGTGTATAATGAAGAAAGGATTCAACAATCTGATCAATTTAAGCAAAAGTCCTACATACCCATCAGTGCCACGCCTACAGTGTCTATGCTTCACGTCTTTATCTGTCAATGTGCAGCTTTTAATAGGAAGATCTTTGAGAATTTCTAAATGGTTCTAATGAAGGAGCCACAATATGTCACTGAGGAAATCTCTCTGTTAACACAAATCACTCCCGTTACAATTTTGCTTTTAGATTTGTTCAGGTCTATACCCTCCACCCTGCCGAAAGAAGGGAAAAAAAATTACCAATGAATTAATTTTTTACTGAGTAGACTCTTTCTTTAGACAAAAAAGTCTTACTTTTTGATGACAGATTCATTCAATCTGGCAAAAGTTATTATTCATACGTTAATATTTGCATTGTTTCATTGTGACTAATCCAACACAGGGTGTGCGATATTTTGTATTAAAAAAAAAAATGACGACAATTTTATTTTATTTCAATCAGATTTTTTTTATTTGTTTAACTTTCAAAATATTGATTTGTCTAAAAATGTGTCTTAATCTCCCCATGCACCCTTACACCCATAACTAAGGAGTTTACAGGTTCCTATAATACCTATCATCCACAAAACTCAATAAATTGATCAATGCTTTTGAAACAATTCTATTGAATCAGTGGTTTAAAAAAATCACTTGATTTCATGTACATGTAGTCTACCTCACTTGGTCAATGGTACATTAATACTGAAGACACGTTCAAGGTGCATGGCTTGATTGATACAGCTGAGATATGTTGTTTGTGGATATTTGAAAAACATGATTCATGGTATTGTACAAGATATACAAAAAAATATACAGGGTGATCAAAATAGCGGAACCCAAACCCTTAAAATTATATTTCAGATTTAAAAAAATATGTAGCACCAAAAGTAATAATGAATGGAAAGCCAAATTCATAAGCTACTTTTAGATGAAAAATAATGAAATTGCTCAATCCATTCAAAGAATATCTCTATTTAAATGCAATGACCCTAAAACCTGTTTCATCCACAAAAAGCAATTTGTGTATTCTTACTGCTTGGAACATCAAAGAAAATGACTCAGAATACTTGTTTCAACAACTGTAATACACAGTATCCTTATTAACAGCCTTGGTTAGGCAAACAATATGATTTACAAAACCAATAAAAAGAATATTTTTAACTTTTAAACCAAGGTTTTATCGCTGGTGATATTTAAAGACCATTGTGACGACGATTCTTGAAATCAAATTTTCGGACGAAAGAGGTTTTAGGGTCATTGCGTTTGAATGGTGATATTCTTTGAACCGATTGAGCAATTTCAGTATTTTTTTTCATTGAAAAGTAGCTTATGAAATTGGCTTTCCAGTCATTATTATTGTTGGTGCTACATATGTTTTTAAATATGAAATATATTTGTGGGGTTTGGGGTTCCGATTTTTTTTTGACTCACCCTGTATGAGAACAGTTTTTCATTGGCATGTTTATTTCATAAAAATGCTTTTTATTTCAAAACTGGCAGCACTGATCCTTCTGTAACTATAGTGTTTGATTGAAGGTCCTTCATACAAGGTGGAGAACAGAAATCAGGCCTTGCACCTTTAAAAGGTATTATATAATAGGCTATCAGCTTCGGTCCAAAAATTGGGCCACCGGTATCAAATGATCAAAAGCAGCAGTGCTTATGGCGATCTTTGGCAAGGTATGTAAATCTAGAGTTGGAAAATGTGTGATAGCTTTGCAGTGTGAGCGGTGGCAGTTTTTTGGGTGTTACCACTTATATATTTTTTTTTTCAAAATTCCCGCCAATATGCTTGAACCGGATTAATTATACATGGTAATTAACAAGCATGTATTGGCCACAATTTTTTTTTTATAGTGATAGCACCCAAAAAGCTGCCACATACCGCTGCAATGCTTTCACATATTTTCCAACTACAGGGGAGCCAAGGGCGGATCCAGGGGGGGGGGGGGCCCAAAGGGGGCCATGGCCCCCCCCCCCAAAAAAACGAAACCAATTTTTTTTTTTTTTATGTGACATCGCAATAAAGGCAGGCAATGAGTACACCACCATCTTTTCCTCAAAAAACATTGGTTAAAGTGATCAGAAATTGCCTCAGATCGCACCACAGAGCATCTAGAATCCAAACATTTTTCGGGGCCCTTAAGCGGGCCCCGAACCCCACGCCGTCATTTTTTTGACCCACTTTTTGGGGGAACCAAAATTTTTTTTGGCCCCCCCCAAAATTGTGTTCTGGATCCGCCCTTGAGGGGAGCATACCTTACCAAAAATCACAATGAGCATTATTCTCCTCATTTGATACTGACCAAACCCCCAGGCTAAAACTCAATCTAAAAGTTTTATGGAGAAATGTTAGGAATAAATGATATCAATTGGAACTTTAATACACCTTTAGATGGTTCAGGTAAGCCTACATGTACACCAGCACAGTTGATTCACAATATTACTGTAAACAGATCAATTAGGAATGATGAACAGATGAAAGCAAACGTGAGTGTGCTGTCTAAAAGGGAATGTACAACATTTGCTTTGGCTACAATTTTCAGAAATAAATGGATTTGGAGGATTAGTATGTTATAGCAGATGTTGTTAATCTGATTTTGTTCACGTTTTGGGCTTGTAGATGCTGGAAAAACCAAGAAAACCAATCATGTTCTTGTAGTCTGGTTCCCTGACCCCTTAAGATGAAGCAGAGAAATGTATAGACTTTGGGGAATTGTAAGGTCAGCGAATCAGTCTGGCAGGCTTGTACCCCTTCACGGGTGTGTAATCAATTGTAAAGAAAATACGGAACAACTGTTATGAAAAATTCGGAGTGGTTTTTTTAAAAAAGCCAGTTTTTTCCAACGCTGCTCGGCCAACCAGCGTTGGAAAAATACACATTTTCTTGAAAATGTCAGCACACCAGGATACATGATTTTACAGGATACTTTAGAATATCATTCCTTCACAATCCAGTAAGGTATTTTGTGATAATTTGATCATTTCGTTTTTTTGATGTTTGCAAATGTTTTATCTTCCCTTTAAAATCAAAACTTTGAAGAAAAACTTTTAAACTCAGATCTTGACTTTAATCAAAACCAATGATTTGGGGTATTATGCACAACCAATATGTTAGTTGAGTCGATGCTGATGATGTAGGGGTGTTTGAATGTGTTAACAATATCTTACTCTTTGTAATTACATGTAAGTGGAATCAGTTGATTTAAATGAGTAAAATGACCCTCAGTCAATTTACTTTGCCAAAAATAAGACTGTTACCAAATGATTTAAATCAGTGATTTAAAAAACAAATCATTTGATTTAAATCAGTGATGTTTTAAACAAAATTGTATGATTTAAATCGTGATTTAAATCAGTGAAATTTATGTCCTAATGACTAATCCATTCTTCTTCAGGTCACTCAGTGACTCATCAATATGGTTCTTGTCTTCCTCTGTCAGGCATGTCAGGTGCAAGTCCCTGAGGTCCAGCCTCTGAAGGTGCAGCAGCTGCTTTACCTCCATGCACCACAATGCTGCTGTACCACCCAGGTCATTAAAAGAAAGATCCAATTCAACCAAGTTGGGTAGATCCCTGAGTGACTCAGCAACATGTTTGATGTCATGTCCATTCAATGAGCAGCGACACAAGTTCAGCTTTGTGAGGGACTTCAACTGCTTTAGATGCATGCACCATAATGCTGCTGTACCACCCAGCTTATTACGAGAAAGAGCCAATTCAACCAAGTTGGGTAGATCCCTGAGTGACTCAGCAACATGTTTGATGTCCTGTCCATTCAATGAGCAGCCACCCAAGTTCAGCTTTGGGAGGAACTTCAACTGCTTCAAACGCATGCACCATGATGCTGCTGTACCATCCAGGTTATTACCAAAAAGATTCAATTCACCCAAGTTGGGTAGATCCCTGAGTGATTCAGCAACATGTTTGATGTCCTGTCCATTCAATGAGCAGTCACACAAGCCCAGCTTTGTGAGGGACTTCAACTGCTTCAAATCCATGATGCGCCATAATTCTGCTGTACCACCCAGGTTATTATGAGAAAGATCCAATTCACCCAAGTTGGGTAGATCCCCGAGTGACTCAGCAATTTGTTTGATGTCATGTCCATTCAATGAGCACTTACGCAAGTCCAGCTTTGTGAGGGACTTAAACTGCTTCAAATGCATGCACCATAATGCTGCTGTACCACCCAGGTTATTATCAAAAAGATTCAATTCACCCAAGTTGGGTAGATCCCTGAGTGATTCAGCAATTTTTTTGATGTCCTGTCCATTCAATGAGCATCGACTCAATTCCAGCTTTGTGAGGGACTTCAACTGCTTCAAATGCATGCACCATAATGCTGCTGTATCACGCAGGTTATTATCAGAAAGATCCAATTCAGGTGAGTTGGGTAGATGCTTGAGCAACTTAGCAATATCTGCAATGTCCTTGGAATGTACAGCATGAAGATTTGTCATTGCACACATGGTAACAGCTAACTCCTCAATAAACCATGTCCATTTACAACGGTTTACATGCAATGTATGTACATTAGCAAGGTATTTGTTGCCACTGTCTTTTGTCTGTTCAGCAACACATTTCACAAAGTATATGACTGAGTTCAGACAATCCCTGTCAAGCTTATGAATACGAAATTTATCTGTTATGAATGAATGTATGAATTCCTCTGGAGGCAAACGTTTGGATTGACCTTCAAAGAAACAATGAAGTGCCAACTGACCCATCTTTGAGTTGAATGACAACTTCTTCCGATACGTCAACAGAAATTCCTTCATAATCTCATATGTACATGCCTCATTGTCACCACAACAAAAGCGCAGAAGATACTCAAACGTCCTTGCACCCTTTGACATGATTGCATTCAACATCTTCTGAAATTCCTCTGGGTCTGCTTCTAACAAGCTTTGCAAGTAAGCAGCAGCATAGAACTCCTGGAATGTCTTGTGAAAAAACTGAATACAGTTGTGAGTCTGTAGTCCCTTGCGGTCTGTCTGTTTGGTCAGAATACCTGCTTTCAGAGCCAGCTCAAGCACAATCGACTTAAAGTCACTTTCTTTGAAAGAGAGTGACTGATCTGGAGAAAGAAGACCATGCAACGCAACCTTGCCAATTTCAATCATATCTTTTGCTGAGTCCAATGATTTTCTTTTGAAGATGTAGAGAACTCCATTACGATACAGACGTGACATTGTTTCTGGGAGTGTGCAGTCTTCTCTCCATAGTACACACATCAAAAGAAGAAGCATTGGACTTGCAGCTAAAGCAGACAGAACGCCTGATGATCTAATCTTTTTAAGAAGCCCCTTGGCCTTGACAGGTTCAGCTGTGTAAAATTTACTAACATACTCGGCGACATCTTTCCTACTGAAACCCATGACCTCAACATGTGTGAATGGGTCCTGAACCAGTTTCTCTGATACAAGTCTGTCAAAGTGTGAGGGGCGGGTGCTTACAAGTACAGTGCAACCCCTCAACACCTTACCACTTAGGATCTCCAGAATGGAACCAAATGAGGATTCACGCAAGGAGGTAGTCATGAGCTCATCAAAGCCATCTAGTAAAACAAGGACTTTTCCAGGACTGTTCTTGATAAACATATCCAGGGCACCTCTTTCAATACTTACATCTTTAGCCAAGAGTTTGTCAAAAACTGCATCAACAAGATCTGAACTCTGCTCCAGTGCGTACATTTTCAACAGGAAGACAAGTTTATACTTCCGTAGTACCTGACTAGAACCAACTGCCCAATCATATGCCATTTTGTCAAACAGTGTGGTCTTTCCTCTACCAGCCAACCCAGTTAAAACAGCTATTTGGATCGGGTCTCCCTCTTTTGTCTCAAGTTGTAATATATCATCATATGATGCAAGCTTGACTCTGTCCTTACCAAGTATTAACTGTAACTTTGTGTAGATTTCTGTAATGTGTTTCCTGTCATCACCTACCCATGGAAGCACTTTAACAAAGCTACCTTTCCCCCTGTAGTGTGACTTCAGGGCATCTTCACAGCAATCAGCGGCATCTTGGGTTGGACTGTCAAGCTTCATCTTTTTGGGGGCGCTGCATCCTACAATGTTGAAATGACCATAGAGTTGAATGACTTAACCATGCAATGCATTGTGGCATCCAAGCAATAAATTGGCTCCTTGTCTGTAGAAAGTACCATTTTGAGCTGAAATATTGGCTCATTGTATGCAAAAAGTTAAAGCTCTAAAAACTTGTTGGTTAAAGCTTGGGAGGATAAATATTGACAGGATTGAAATAACTTCCCGTTCACTGATGCATGAATCTTAGTCACTCACACAACAAGTGTTGCAAAAGCTCTGCAATAGACCGATCCAGTATGCCCCGCCCACTGTGCACGTAGGCAATTATCATGTGCTCCTCTCCAATGCCACACTACATGTTACAGCCTCGCGCATCATACGCGTCTGCACGCATGTTGGATCCAGTAAGCCCCATCCACTGTGCACGTAGGCAATTAACATGTGCTCCTCTCCAATGCCACACTGCATGTTCCAGCTGCTCGCACATGCCGTGCAAGTATGTTGGACTTTTGTGTACTGATGTGATGTCAGACATAAGTCATGGCTGTGATTGGTCAGAACACAATGGGGCGGGGCTAAATGGATTGGTCTATTAATGACAGATGATACATTTATTTTCATGAAAAAAGTCTTATTTTCTCAAACTCATGGCATGCATGGGAAGCAAAAAGATGCTGTGCTTTAGTACACTGCAAATTAACAAGAACAAAACATTTTATTCCCATCCTACAAGTGTGAGACTAGTATGTAAAGAAGGTATACATTTACTACATGTACATGTATACATCTGGTTTGGAGTTGGTACATTCATTGATAATTACCTTGTGCACCTGAGGCCACATGTGATGTTGGTGGTTGTTGTGATGTACTTGGTGGATTCTCTGATATGTCAACTGATGGATGACCAGAGTGGTGTGATGCATGTGCACCATCTTCAATCAAATCAAATATGATAAGGATAATTGTGTGTATCACTGTCATGAAAAAAATATTCAGTAAGATGTCATTTTTCGGAGTTGAGGGATAAAAAGTGGGAAAAAAGTCGGAGCAAGGTAAACAAAACTAGGAAAAAGTAGGAAATGTAGAAATACTTGAAAGCCTGAAAAATGTTATGCAACATTAATGTGGGACTAAGATCTATCCTTTTTCAAATGTGGCACACATATGGGGCGCTATTTAAAAACTTAATTATTCAACATATTACAAGACTTAACCATAAATAGTGTCCTCCAATTGTGTCAACAATTAATATTTTGAATTGGGTAATAGTTGTAGCAAAGAAAATTAGTGACTCTCAGTAGCTTGTGAAACTGACAATCAGTGTCCATGTTTATGTAGTATAAAAGTTCATCATCGAACACGAAAGTCCATCACCGATCGTGAATATGCATCACAGGTAAAAGTCCATCACCGATCGCGAAGTCCATCACCGATCATGAATATGCATAACCGATTGCAAAAGTGTATCACCGATGCGATGATCACATTAAATGCCTCTTTGGCGTTCCATAATAGAGCACTATATCACGTCACATGCTTGTGCTGCAAATAGCGAGCACCGTAGACCCAACCTCGTTTCCAGGGTGTGTAGCAGGCTGCAGTACGCGTTGCCATCGATGGTTTTACGCATAGCTCGGTCAGACCGCGCAAGGCATACTAATGTGTAGTCCTTCTGAGTATTCGTTGCACTCGGCGCAGGGGCGGCAAGCAAAGCACAGGAAAGAATAGGGACACTTGATGGCCACGCATCATGGAGAAAAAATATTTTGCCAAGGTCAACCCATTGCTACCGTTTAGTGAACTCATTTGCAAAACAGCCAAGTAGAACACGTAAACGCAACCCCTACGTCGAAGCCGCTGACCTCGCACAGTCTAGACACGTAGAAAAAGCCAGCACAGGGGGCGGACAGGCAGTCAACGTGAAAGCGCACATGACGGCAAATTCCTGCGCAAAACGCAGTCACGAAAAATCGACAAAACGGATCGCCGGTCCGTACGGGAAAATCAGGACGACCCGAGGTGTCCAACCCGGCGAAGACACCCTCCGCATTTTTCCATGGACGTGGAGCGATTTTGGCGCCGCAGGAGCCAGCGGTCTCGGATCCTTTCATGAGCAAACATCGTCTGGGAGGCGGAGTTAAACTCTCTCTTATATATATAGATATCATCTCCCCCACCCAAAAAAAAACAAATTTCAATTTAGATTTAATATCAAATTACTTTCATCTTAGAGAACAAGATTACATTTACCTGGTCCCTGCAACGGGAAGATGTAATTGATATTAACTCCACTTGAACCAACAACGATAGAGTTTTTGCTACCACTGATTGTGCCGCTGTTTCCGATGTTTCCAGTTCGTTGTGGGGAATCTACAATCAAAAGCAGGAATAAACAAGTCAGGTGTGTTTACAAACACAAATGCCCCGCAACCGTGACTGTTTCCATGACATAACACCACTCTAACATCAACTTACATGTACCTTGGTCAAATGGAACGTTCATTGACAGTATTAGTGTCTTCTGTAGGTTTTATATGGATTAATCCCTAATGATCTCAGAATAAATACAAGATTTCTATTGTTTTAGCCACTGTGACCTTGACCCTTGACCTTTCGACCCCCAATCGATAGGCTCCTTAGGATTGCCAAGGACAATCCACAAACCAAATTTGAAGTTCATATGTAAAGTATATCTCAAGTTATCACGCTGACAAAATTTCTTTTGTTTTTGCCACTGTGACCTTGACCCTTGACCTTTTGGCCCCAAATGCAAAAGGCTTCTTAGGATTGCCAAGGACAATCCACAAACCAAATTTGAAGTTCATATGTAAAGTATATCTCAAGTTATCGCGCTGACAAAATTTCTATTGTTTCAGCCACTGTGACCTTGACCCTTGACCTTTTGGCCCCAAATGCAAAAGGCTTCTTAGAATTGCCAAGGACAATCCACAAACCAAATTTGAAGTTCATATGTAAAGTATATCTCAAGTTATCGCGCTGACAAAATTTCTATTGTTTCAGCCACTGTGACCTTGACCCTTGACCTTTCGGCCCCAAATGCAAAAGGCTTCTTAGGATTACCAAGGACAATCCACAAACCAAATTTGAAGTTCATATGTTAAGTATTTCTCAAGTTATGCTGACAAAATTTCTATTGTTTCAGCCACTGTGACCTTGACTCTTGACCTTTCGGCCCCAAATGCAAAATGCTTCTTAGGATTACCAAGGACAATCCACAAACCAAATTTGAAGTTCATATGTAAAGTTATCGCGCTGACAAAATTTCTATTGTTTCAGCCACTGTGACCTTGACCCTTGACCTTTCGGCCCCAAATGCAAAAGGCTTCTTAGGATTACCAAGGACAATCCACAAACCAAATTTGAAGTTCATATGTTAAGTATTTCTCAAGTTATGCTGACAAAATTTCTATTGTTTCAGCCACTGTGACCTTGACTCTTGACCTTTCGGCCCCAAATGCAAAATGCTTCTTAGGATTACCAAGGACAATCCACAAACCAAATTTGAAGTTCATATGTAAAGTTATCGCGCTGACAAAATTTCTATTGTTTCAGCCACTGTGACCTTGACCCTTGACCTTTCGGCCCCAAATGCAAAAGGCTTCTTAGGATTACCAAGGACAATCCACAAACCAAATTTGAAGTTCATATGTTAAGTATTTCTCAAGTTATGCTGACAAAATTTCTATTGTTTCAGCCACTGTGACCTTGACTCTTGACCTTTCGGCCCCAAATGCAAAAGGCTTCTTAGGATTACCAAGGACAATCCACAAACCAAATTTGAAGTTCATATGTTAAGTATTTCTCAAGTTATCGCGCTGACAAGATTTGTCCTGACACACACACCCACACACACACCACCCCACCCACCCACCCACCCACAGAAGGACAAGGCGAAAACAGTATGCCCCTTCGCCGCGGGGCATAAAAAATCAATAAAATACATGTAACAGTCGACAAAATGATGCCTGTACTAAATTCCATCTCTATTTGTCGTCTGTTCTTGGAAACATTGCCTTTCTACGGAGCCTCTATAAAAAGGGACATTCAAATTCTTTTTGTTATCTTGTGCACACGATATAATTATGTCGAGCATGGCAATTGTGGCTTGGCAATGTTACATTGTGTGTGCTGAGGCCTTTGTGCGCAATGTACCGGTACAAGGTCAGCTGATAACGTTAATTCACAATCACGCGTCGGCAGCAATTTTTATCAAATGATTATTCCCCAAGTTTACCTGCACATATACCAGTTCTTCCTCGCTGTTTTCTTAGCTATAAAACATAAGTGGGTTTGGCCCTTCACCGACGTATAAATCCCGAGTGCAAATTCCATCTTATGAATTTTTAGCTATAAAAGACTTCTCTCTCTCAAAAAGGCAGTCTCACAACATTAATCAAAAATCCCCATTCTATCTGACTTAACATGTAACATAGTGGCTGCATTGATGATTACGCCCCCTCCAAAATAAACACGCTGCTTTCGTTAGAAACAAAGTCGTCTGATTTTGTGCACGCCGCGTGCAGCCAGCTAGATAAATAATAATATTGAATGTCCCTTAAGGGGCTCCGTACCTTTCATTAGAAGAAAAATATTTTTTACTCAATCTGTCCGATAATAGACAAAAAAGTACAAGAAATACCTGGCTACATCTACCGGTACATGCATGTCTCAAATCTGCGGGTGAGGTGGGGAGGGGGAGGGTGGTAAATGCCCCTAAAGGTTAAAAACTGACTACAAGCAACTACAGGGTGAGTTAAAAAAAAAAGGAAACTTAAATGGCGCCCCCTATTTTTTGAAGAAGTTGTGCACGTAGCGCTTTCCGGATCTAGAATATGAAAGCCCGATTAAGAAGCTTTCTTTTAGTAAAAGAATCTTTCAAATCGCTCATGCACTTTTCCAGTTATGGAATTTTGAAAACAAACACCGTTTTTAACCTTGTCCATGGATCACATTTGCCATGTGATATTTCAGTATTAAAAATGAAACCATGTCATATCCTGAAAATGATTTCAGAATAATTAATCCCATAATTCTCTGGGGAATCCAAGTAGAAGGCAGGGCAAAACAATAAACTATTGACAGTATAAGGCCTCTTATTTTAACCACTTTGAAACCAGCATTTTGAAATTTTCAAAAGGCATATTTTGCCATGCAGCCAACTTCTGATAAACATGTACATGTACAACCAAACGCCACAAATACTGATTCGCAAGAGTGATTTGAACAGTATTTGTACGATATTTCTTGCCGATGCCTCATATGTTTCAACACTCAATAAATGTAATGATTAGTGCCAGTAACCATGGTTATGAGAGTGTTCTGATGTGTTTATTTGATATGGGAATAGTTTTGTTTTTTTGTGAAATATTACTAACCTTTGTGATTTGTGGAAAAGCTTAAAAACTGGAAAAGTACATGAGCAATTCGAATGGTCCTTTCACTAAACATAAGCTTGTTAATTTGGCTTTCATATCCTACATCTAGAAAGCACTACGTGCAGTACTTTTTCAAAAATTAGGGGCACCATTTGGCATGTTTGGGTTTCCTTTTTTTTTACTCACCCTGTACAGCTACTGCTAGTACGTACTTACCTAATGCAGCAGGTACCTGAGCCTCCTGTTGCGTAGTGGTAGGGACATCAGTCCGTTGGTAGGCTGTTTCAGATTGTTGCATTGTGGTAGGGACATTAGTCTGTTGGCATGCTGCTGCAGATTGTTGCATCGTGGTAGGGACATTAGTCCGTTGGCTGGCTGCTTCAGATTGTTGCATCGTGGTAGGGACATTGGTCTGTTGGCATGCTGCTGCAGATTGTTGCATCGTGGAAGGGACATCAGTCCATTGGCAAGCTGCTGCAGATTGTTGCATTGCTGTAGGGACATAAGTCCGTTGGCTGGCTGCTGCAGATTGTTGCATCGTGGAAGGTACATGAGTCGGTTGGTAGGCTGCTGCAGATTTTTGCATCATGGTAGGGACATCAGTCCGTTGGTAGGCTCCTGCAGATTGTTGCATCGTGGAAGGGACATCAGTCCATTGGCAAGCTGCTGCAGATTGTTGCATTGCTGTAGGGACATAAGTCCATTGGCTGGCTGCTGCAGATTGTTGCATCGTGGAAGGTACATGAGTCGGTTGGCAAGCTGCTGCAGATTGTTGCATTGCTGTAGGGACATAAGTCCGTTTGCAGGCTGCTGCAGATTGTTGCATCATGGAAGGTACATGAGTCGGTTGGTAGGCTGCTGCAGATTTTTGCATCATGGTAGGGACATCAGTCCGTTGGTAGGCTGCTGCAGATTGTTGCACTGCTGTAGGGACATAAGTCCGTTTGCAGGCTGCTGCAGATTGTTGCATCATGGAAGGTACATGAGTCGGTTGGTAGGCTGCTGCAGATTTTTGCATCATGGTAGGGGCATCAGTCCGTTGGTAGGCTGGTGCAGATTGTTGCATCGTGGTAGGGACATCAGTCCATTGGCAAGCTGCTGCAGATTGTTGCATTGCTGTAGGGACATAAGTCCGTTTGCAGGCTGCTGCAGATTGTTGCATCATGGAAGGTACATGAGTCGGTTGGTAGGCTGCTGCAGATTTTTGCATCGTGGTGGGGACATCAGTCCGTTGGTAGGCTGGTGCAGATTGTTGCACCGTGGTAGGGACATTAGTCCGTTCGTAGGCTGCTGCAGATTGTTGCATCATGGAAGGGACATTAGTCCGTTGGTAGGCTGCTGCAGATTGTTGCACCTTGGTAGGGACATAAGTCGCTTGGTAGGCTGCTGCAAATTGTTGCATCGTGGTTGCAACATAAGTCTGTTGGCTGGCTGCTGCAGATTGTTGCATCATGGAAGGGACATTAGTCCGTTGGTAGGCTGCTGCAGATTGTTGTACCGTGGTAGGGACATAAGTCGCTTGGTAGGCTGCTGCAAATTGTTGCATCGTGGTTGCGACATAAGTCTGTTGGCTGGCTGCTGCAGATTGTTGCATCGTGGTGGGGACATTAGTCCGTTGGCAGGCTGCTGCAGATTGTTGCATCGTGGTAGGGACATTAGTCCGTTGGTAGTCTGCTGCAGGTTGTTGCATCAAGGAAGGGACATAAGTCCGTTGGTAGGCTGCTGGAGATTGTTGCATTGAGGTAGGGACATTAGTCCGTTGGTAGGCTGGTGCAGATTGTTGCATCATGGTAGGGACATCAGTCCGTTGGTAGGCTGTTGCAGATTGTTGCATTGAGGTAGGGACATTAGTCCGTTGGTAGGCTGCTGCAGATTGTTGCATTGTGGTAGGGACATTAGTCCGTTGGTAGGCTGGTGCAGATTGTTGCATCATGGTAGGGACATAAGTCCGTTGGTAGGCTGCTGCAGATCGTTGCATCGTGGCAGGGACATAAGTCCGTTGGTAGGCTGCTGCAGATTGTTGCATTGTGGTGGGGACATTAGTCTGTTGGTAGGCTGCTGCAGATTGTTGCATCGTGGTAGGGACATAAGTCCGTTGGTAGGCTGCAGCAAATTGTTGCATCTTGGTTGGGACATAAGTCCGTTGGTAGGCTGGAGCAGATTGGTGCATCCTGTTGGAGACATAAGTCCGTAGGTCTAAGGCTGCTTCAGATTGTTGCATCATGGTAGGGACATCAGTCCGTAGGTCTAAGGCTGCTTCAGATTGTTGCATCGTGGTAGGGACATCAGTCCGTAGGTCTAAGGCTCCTTCAGATTGTTGCATCATTGAAGGGACATAAGTCCGTTGGTAGGCTAGTGCAGATTGGTGCATCATGGTGGGGACATTAGTTCGTTGGTAGGCTGCTGCAGATTGTTGCATCCTGTTGGAGACATAAGTCCGTAGGTCTAAGGCTGCTTCAGATTGTTGCATCCTGGAAGGGACATAAGTCCGAGTCCGTTGGTAGGCTGCTGCAGATTGTTGCATTGTGGTGGGGACATCAGTCCGTTGGTAGGCTGCTTCAGATTGTTGCATCGTGGTAGGGACATCAGGCCGTTGGCAGGCTGCTTCAGATTGTACATCCATGGTACTTTGGATCACCAGCCCACAATTGAAAGTCCTGTTTGTCAATGATTAACGAAAAAACTGTGTCACGTTTCATTCTTTGGTGGATTAACTTTGGAATATTTTAACAGATTTGTGAACGCACCCACGACTACTGACAAGGCAAATGGCAGGGCAAGCCTATAGTCTGAGCATTTGGGACTCTCAATAAACCTGATTGACATTCGCATTGCACCATGGGTACGGAAAACAACCAACCAATACAGTTCATGCATAAACCAGTTGGGGCAGTGAGCCAGTCATGCTTTAAAGTATCTTAAAATTGATCATTGTATAATTCATCTATTAACAAATTAAAGCGTGGATTATGAGAAACAATTTGTACATAAACTTTAAAAGTTTTTAAACTTTGAAAATAAAAGAAGAAATAATCTTAAAATATATTTCCAGGTTCCAGTCATCGGGCTCAGTGGAACAACAAAATTGGTCACAGTAGAAGCATGGAGCTTGACAACTTGATTGGCCAGTATTGGCATTATATTCATGTTCATGGGTATGAAACACATGTCTCAAAAGGGATTCACGAAAATTCTCTTGATTGTGATAAGCTTTAAAAAATGTTTGTTTTTTGTTTGTTTTTTGATAGGCTTCATTCACACATGTTATGCCCAAATTTGACTATTGGTCCCAACATATGTTGGGATGGTCCCAACCAGAGATGCTACAGGGTCTGCTTGAAAAAAAAAACGGAACAGGGTCTGAGTGAAAAAAACGGCAGTTGTCCGCGAGTCTCATGGACATGTGACGCGCTAAAAAATACGCGAAATGAGACTCCACTACAGTTTGTTTTACCCATAGAGCTATATCTAAATTTAATACATGTATAGCTCTATGGTTTAACCCAACCTCGTTCCCCATGGGTACGATCGTGCTGCGTCATGTTGTTTCCCATCATGCCTTGCGCGATCTTGGAATGCGCACGCGCCAATGCATGGAGTCGAGGCTGGGTTTTACCTTGGTTTTCCGCGTACCGTGCGGTCATCATAACCAGCGCATCAAGTCTTAGGAGGTGCGTGAAAATTGCCACGCCTTTTGAACGATTGTTCTTCCTCAAACTCAAAACGCGTGGCCAGTCGGATCACCGTCCGCTTTTCACCGACAGTATACATTTTAAAAATATTTGCTGGGGGGGGGGGCATGCGCCCCCTGCGCCCCCCTCTGGATCCGCCAATGGTATACTGAGTGCAAGTATGTTGGCCACCTGTATCGCATGCAGGCTCGGCAACAACAAAAGACTTGTTTTTAAGACTACCTGACTTCAATGAACAACGTTGTGCCATGCGTGCCCAAGGCCTGTACTCAACTCGAGAGCGCTAATGAGGTAAAAATCAACGCATTTCCACAGCTTTTCTTCTATTTTTCCAATGTTTTTTTTTTTAAGCCAGAAAAAAGAACAGATTAAAAAAAAAGGAATTGCGGCTAAAACTTAATCTTTACCCATCATCGTAGTCTGAAAATTGGGGACTCTTAATACTGTGTATGATAATCCCAAATCTAAGGATAGTTTTACACAGTGCAGCTTATAGTTGGGACCATCCCAACATATACTTCAGCTGCATTGGCCCACCCATCGTAGTCTGAAGATTTCATGGATTTGGGACTCTCAATATAGTGTATGATAATTCCAAACCTTAAGATAGTAGAAACACACATGTAGGCAATACAATAAAATAGACTGGCACATGGAACCAGTCCAACATCCCTTTGGTACTGCAGCTGCATCAATTAACTGTGTCAAAAGAAACATCTAGTACCTAGCATCTCTGTTCTACACATTTTCTCAAGTCAAGCAACCAGACTACTGAAGGGACATTCTTTCCAAAAATAAATGTACATGTACTTTAGAAATAAAAACAAGAAACAGTTTTGGGGTACCAGTTACCATGTATGTATAAGGCCAAGTAGAACAACTGTGATTGGTTAGTGTTGGTGGGACCTGAACAATTGCCGTTACCATAGTTTATTGTCCTTGACCAATGCACATAGCTTACCGTAATTTTCGGAATATAAGCCGCGCGGCGTATAAGCCGCAGCACGCAAAAATCTGCAAATTAAGATTTGAAGTCGGCGTATAAGCCGCATCGGCGTATAAGCCGCACGGTTCAATTTTGTAAGGCCTCCAAATTCTAGTCAAAATGCTCTGAACCAGTTCCATTTGCACTACGAAAGCTATAAAAGGGCCACAAATGTTATGTCAAATCATTTACAGTCGATTACTCTTACAAACAAATATGGAAATTGATGATGAGAAATAAAAAATGGGAATTGCTGCCGGCTGGCTCGTCAGTGAGCCTGTGCCGGAGAATGACATTATTTTCCCCCAGCACTTGAGAGAGTATGCAACCCACCATGTGTTGTCTGACTGGAGTGCTACAAATCCTGCTTTGTGGCAACAGACGCTGAGTTGTTTTTTCCTAAAGGATAAACAAGTCCGTTTTTACAGCAAAACATATCAAATTGTTGTGATTACTAACGAGTAGTAACGTCAAAACTTCTAGTTTGGATTGTAACTTTCTTCGAAAACAGTCAACACGATGCCGAGATTTTTATGGACGAATCCATTAATTTTGTAGGGGTGGTTTCACCCCTGTTTTGAATTTTACATCGTTTCTTGAATACATTTCAAGAAAAATAATTATATTGTGACGTTGAACAACTGATTGTCAAATAAAGATATGTTTCAAACTCCATAAAAAGTATTAGTTGTCTTTTTCCTTTTTTTAAACTGGGGAAATATTGGTAATTATTGTTCCCAAGAACGTGCACCCCTTTAGTTCCACAAATGGTGTGGTCCATGGGAATCCATGCAGCATGCATGCAGCATGGGCAGCATCACGTACGGCCGGTTGTCGATGTCCAAGGGACAGCTTTCACTAGCCGTACTTTTTACCGCTCGGTATCTTTTTGTGGGACGTGCTTTCGGTTTGTTAATGACTTTCTTAATTGATAATTATTTCAGCAACACATCTCTCCTTGTACCAGTACATTAAATACACATGTAAATGTCATTATTATTCTTCAAGTCTCGGCGTATAAGCCGCCCTGTGTATAAGCCGCAGTAAACATTTTCATGGGCAAATTCAACGTATAAGCCGCGGCTTATATTCCGAAAATTACGGTAATTGTGCTACATGTACCAAAGTAAACTTAGGAATGCCTTTATGTTGTGCAAACCTGACATAAAACAGAAACCGACCTGTCCCGAAATCGACTTCGGTTCGGATTTGGTCGGTCGGTTTTCCCATAATTTCAGTCGGGTCAGCTTGGCTTGGTTTTGGTTTGCCTTTACGATTTTTGGGTCAGGTCGGTTCGGTTAAGCCATCTTATGAGAAACCTGAAATAAGCCAGAAAAAACCTTAACAGTTTGGAAACTCAGAGGATGTAACTGAAGATAAACACTGAAGAGTCTCACAGGCCGTGCTCCAGCCTGAAGGGCCTACATGATGCGTACTTTGAAGACTGCATGCCCTATATGCCCTCATGCATTTTTTCCTGCACGTCACATCAAGTACAAACATTTTTTAAAGACTTCGCAATGCCTGTACAATAAACTGACCAGCGTAATAAATAGTGTGACCATGCAGAGGAACTAAATTTACCACTGAATTAAACTTCTGTTTTTGTGGAAGTGGCCAGTCTGTGGAGTGTGAATTGGGATGAATGTGATTATTACAAGTACGACTGCGGTAAGGGAGTCCACCTGGGCTAGGAAAATATTGAAGCATTTCCTATATTAAGAAAACAATTATAATTTTTTCTAAAGTCAAGTGATGTCCAGGTATGGAATTCTTTCTGAAGTCTGATTTATGTTGAAAGGGTCATTTTTGAATGATAAAAAACACCCTTGACTCTAATTTAGTAGAAACTATGAAAGACTGAGCTGAGAGTAGACTTTGTAGTTTATTTACGTGTTAGAAGCACACTCACCCTTACCAGCAATGCAAAAGAAGTATCTGCTTTCTCAGACGTCTACTTTGCATGTAATTTCCAAGCTTGTTTGCACACGTTTGTATCTAAATTCCAACATCGAAAAGATCACGCGCAATGCACACGTAAGGTCCAATGCTTAGCACTAAAAAAGACCCCGTGAGTGGACGTGGCAGGTCTGGGTTGCCACGTGTGCCTTGACTAAAGATATAAAAACGTGTGCAAATGAGCCTTGAAATTACACGAGAAGTAGACGTCTGAGCAAGCAGATACTTCTTTTCCATTGCGGATTGCTAAAGAGAATGAAATAAACTACAAAAAAAGTCTGAATGTGAAAATCCAATTATTACAAAGTTCTAAATGTTTGGGTATATTATGCGGGTGTGGCCTATATTGACGGAGGTAGTCCAGTAAATTGGCCACATTTATGGGGCTAAGCTAAAGCTGAGGGGCCCGTAAAAACACAACCTCAATCCTGTCAGTAGCTCTTTTTTGGGGCCGGCCTAGCTTAAGTACATGTAGCTCCAGCTGACATGCTCATTAGGAATTCACATGTAACGCTGGAGACAAAACTACGTCTTAAATTTACGTGAGATTGTAAGAGACCCTAAAAAGATGGCCTCCACAAAATGGTTATTTTTTTCCTATTATTTTGAAGTATCCCAACCCAGATTCCATTAAATATACGTCATAGTTTGCACTCAGTCATGTCATTCACGAAGCCAGTGATTGACTTGAAACAGAATAAAAATTACTAAAATATGAAAAATGTTGATGATTTCAGTGGCTTCTTCAGAAAAAGTGTCCAGTGCCGCTGTACTGTCATGCACGGCTGTATTGTGTGCTTGTGCCGATCAGCCAATCAGATTATTCTTCGAACATGTCGAATAATTGAGGAATAATCTGATTGGTTGATCGGCACAAGCACACAATAAACATGATAAAACCACAACACAGCCATGACTACACCCATGAACATGGCTATATATACATTTAAACACACCTCCTGCTTGTTATTTATCCTGGTTGGCTAAAACGCGGTCACGTGTGATTCACTAAGATCTATAGGCTAGTGTATGAAACTTGCGTCAGCGTGAACTAGAAATGCTAGACACGCTTCCAGACATCGCGCGCGCGTAATTTCCAGAGTATAAGCCTAGTGCATAGAGCTATATTAAATTACTAGAGCGCTAACTCCTCATTCTTGCGCGTGGAGATGCTTTGAAGCCGCTCTGGGCGCAGACATTTTGATTTTATGTGCGTGTTTGTAGAACACAATCAAAATAGATGGATTGAATTTTAAAGTGTACTCTAAATGCAACGCGCAAGTAGAAGATACGCAAACAACTTAAGCACGTCATGGCAGTTCAAAAAGCATCACGGCGAAAAGCATCTGCAACTGAGGGACTCGCACATACGGAAGACAGATAGTGCCACTCAATGAGTGTGAATATATTTTTTTGGTGCGTGTGAAAATATTTTTTTGGTACAGCGGCCGCCACTAATATGTGGCGGCTGCCAGAAACTAAGTGGCGGCTGCCACATAAGTCGTCATAATAAGTCAGCCCCACCGGTCACCATTTTAATGTATGTCATATGTACATGTAACAGACTGGCACAACTTTCCTTACTTGTACTGTGATCTCCACGGTACGCATGTAAAGCGTATGCATCGTTGGTAAAGAGATAACACAGTTCTGGAACAAATATAAGGCTGCGACCCAGATATGTGATAGTACATGTACCTCCCTGGTTTTTACGCATGTACCGGTACAAACATGTGGGGAAATAGTAAAAACTTTCACATGGTTGAGTTGCTGGAATTGACCAATAAAATGCTGCAGTTACCTGATGAATATTTATGAGGTATAGTAATAAGGCCAAAAAAGAGAATAGTTCTGCTTCCCGTTACCCGACCGACCCTATTTTTAGGCTGCGACCGTAAACATTTTATCGGCAATTCAAAAAAATAAAAAAGATTGAATAAAGAAATAAAAATACATGTGTATAATCTTGTTGTCTTTTCTGTCTTCACAAAATACCTCTCAACAACCCTTTTGCATCAAAAAAATGCTTGTATCTATTTGTTTTCTTACTTACATTCATTACGTGCTGTCTTCACTAATCTTTTCTGGCTTCACAAAATACCTTTCTACAACCCTTTCGCATCAAAAAATGCTTGTATCTATTTGTTTTCTTACTTACATTTGCTTTTTTCAAAAGAAACCTCCCTTACTTTTACAAATTCGCTTCGCGATATAACCATTCGCAATTCGATGTCACGGTGACTATAATACGACTGTGGATACGACTGGATACGACTGTGGATATGACTGGTTCCCGCCGCGCTGTGCAGGGGCCAATTTAGAAGACATGATGAAAATGCGGTAACCAGTCCATAGCTATGCGACCGATAGCGCGCTAGCAGTGCAGGCCACTGTCAACTGGTTGGATTCGACATCGTAAAAATGCCAAGAAAACACCAATGGAGAGAGAACATTTTTGCAAGTTAATTTACAGAATTGCTGTAGCTTGTCTGTGTATGTATTTTCTGTGTTCAAGAGTTCATTTTGAGATCGCACTATTCGTATAAGTGATACATGCCGCGTGTTTCCCAAAATTTTTGACTGAAAAAACAGGTCTGTCAGCCCATGGTGCCTAATTTTGTCTAATCATTATAACACATCTCTTGCTGGTTCTTTATCATGGATGGCTGAAACACAGCCATGTGTGGTTCACTAGTATAGGCTAGTGCATGAAATTTGCGTCAGCGGAACTAGACGCGCATCAAGACATCACGTATGCGTAATTTCCAGAGTATAGTGCCAGACAGGGCACTATATTCAAATGTTTGGACTGGTTACATTACCCTCTGTTTCAACTTCCACGTATTGTGTTTAATTGCTTATTGTTGAATTGCTTATGAGTCAAATGAGACCGTAGGTTTGCATGGTGAGCATTGTGGACATGATCAATGAATGGGAGGTTTGCAACACCATGGGAATGATATCTTTGTGAGTTGTGTCGTTCTGAAAAGAACCAGTTGGTTTTTAACTCTGAGTGAGTTAATTGTTGCATTAAAACAGTTCAAATTAAAAACTCTTATTTTATATTTTGGACAGTGGTGTGTTATAAAACTCATGTGGCATAATTTGGTCACTCACTAGTGCATGTCAATGCCCCCCTCGGGCCTGTGAGTGACCAGAAGAGGGTCCTATATCCCTCGGCCTTCGGATCACTCACAGTCCCTCGGATTGTACAGACGTGCACTAGTCATTGCCAGTCTATATAGTACAATAGTGTGACCATGCAGTGAAACTTCTATTTACCACTGGATGAAACTTCTGTTTTTGTGGTGTGGCCAGGTCTTGGGTTGGGATGAAGTCATGTGATCAATGACCACCAATCAGATGGTCAAAGGGGATTTGACGTTGTGTAATACATGAGAGACATTTTATTCCCATTTTTCAGGCATGTTCCCATTTGCAGAGCTCTGTCAATCAATGGTGACAGTCAGCTTTAAAGGTACTGGTACATGTACATGTAGCTCAATCAGGTGTTTCACGGTACTATGCGCCATCTTGCCCACAGGGCAATTTTACACGCATTGCTTTGTACGTATCGTCAATGGAAAAGTTTGGTGCTTCCACGTCATCATGCGTTCATTCCAAAATGTGCCCGCTTCTGGCAACGCATGATCTTTCTGCCCCGCAAACAAGAAGGCACATATTACCGTGAAACACCTTATTGCAGCTATCCAAAAGGTAAACTGACAAAATTATTGTTGAAAACCTTACTTGGTTTAAAGATAGCAAACTAGTGAAATTATTCTTTCTGGCATGCTGTCATTGTGAAGAAAACAATAAAAAAAAATGATGCGTCAAGTGACGCAATTTTGGAAATTTCAGTTAGTAGTTGGTTCGTAATTTGGCAAATCCCTGAATGGGTGCACACACAAGAGTTGACACGAGGCACACGGGCGCGCGGTTGCTATTGATTCGTCAGCTCAGTACGTGACACTGCGTAGCTGCTATCAGCTGAATGAGAATGTGTCCTGGATGCTGATTTTGGGCGCAATTCAAAACATGACTCGGCAACTTTTGAATTGAAACCGACATCGTATTCACAGAGCTTCATCAGGTTAGTTTTTAAACACCCATCTTAGAATTTGAGTACTTTTGGTGTTCGAAATAAAATGCAAAATGACAAATGATTTACCCTACCTTTAATGCAACAGATACATGCATCTGGCTCTGGACACGTACCCATCAACAACCCAAAAGACTGCACAATCAATATCTACCAATCAAAAGAAAAGACAACAAATGATTAATGATACACAATCTACTTTGTAACGAGTAGGTATAAGTGGAGGGTACCAGACTTTGCCATAGGAGTGGGGGGGGGGGGCAGGTACCAGACTTCACCCCTCCCCAATGATTCCCCTTGAACTTGAGGGTTTGTAAAAAAATATGGGTGGAAGCCGTGCACAGGACCGGGAGCTTGCAGTTCTGCGTAAAAAATGGCGATGGGCCTTCGGACTATTTTCAGGGGTGATCATCTTCAGATGGAAATTTCTCCAAAAAGTCATCAGTTGACCCCCCCAAAAATTGAAAAGAAAATGAAAGATGATGAAATAAGCTTTAATTTGATGTGTGTCTCGAACACCTTGGAGAGTAGTGAGTATTTTTCCCGAATTTTTGAAGTGGGAGCATTTACCATTGGGGTCTATGGAAGTTTATTTACTGGTCTGCTACCATTTACAGTCACCCTCTTGGAGATCTCAACACAGACTCACAGCGACTGGTGCGCGAGTCTACAGTCACTTATAAATAAATAAACAAATAACGTTTTCTTAGGTTTACAAATCAAAGTTTGAAATTTATTAAAAACATGTTACTTTAGTACCCCTATGACATCATCGTTATATTAAGAGGAGAACTATCGATACCCTTATGACATCATAATTATATTTAGTGAGTAAGCGTTTTGGCCAATTTTTATATCATAGAGATACATCAAAATGGTACACTTTTAAGTTACTTTTTAAGAAATATATCGAGGTTTTTACACTTAAAAAATGGTATTAGCGGTACTTTGAAAAAATCTTGCTCGGGCGATAAACCCGACGCAAAGTTATAAAGCCGCCTAACCTCTTTTTCACAGGTTGCGATGGGTGGTCATCATCTGAAACATTTAGAAAAAAATAAGCATTTACACTCAATGTTTGATCAGAAACATCACATACACTAATGGATGGCTAGACTTTTAGTGATTGTGTAGTATAGGTTTTTATAGGAAACAAAATCAATATGAAAACCTACATTATTACCAGACTTTAATGTTAAAAACAATTTACCTTTTGGCTGGTGACTGCAGGTTGAGCGTTGACATCTGTACCTATCGACATATCATGTTGAAATGACACGGAAATACTGAATTGCGAAAGATTTTCTGGAAATTTCCAAAGCTAAATTTAGTAGTGACATGTATAACTTTTCTATAAGCTATACAACCCGAGGACAATAGGCAGTCAAGGTCGGTTACCTTGCATAATTTTTTAACAGTACACAGTCATGAACTAGAACGGGGTCGCAAGTCTTTTGATGTGATGTGTGATGGATAGTATAAAATGAGCAAAAAGGTATGGAGCGCCAAAATGTCAATATCTCTCTCTCACCAGCCGGTGAGTCTGATGCTTTAATATAAATCTAAAAGTCTCACCTCTTAAAAAAATTTAAAAAAAAAATTATATTGATATATATAAATGATGGATACAATTAGGCCAATCGTTATGGAATAAAGCGACGCTGCGCGATTACGTCCAGCGATATAATATACCGTACAATCAAAATGTTGCTCTTACGCGTAAAGTCTACATCAACGGGATAAAAAACTACGAAGCTCAATTTAAAAACTTGAGGAAAAAGACGCTTCATGAGCTCAAACAGATTGTAGATGATTACGATCTGGAAAATAACCCATCGGGTTATAAAGGTCGATTTTTGAAAAAAGATTTACTCTCGGCGATTCAAAACTCTAGGCAACCCGAGGATTTTGAAGAGGCTGAGTTCAGAGCGACGAGGAGATTTAGAAATAACTTTAGAAACTGGGAACTGATTCCTAGACTTTTTAACGACGATTTAGTCAAGTTTTTTGATACGCACAAAGATCAAATTGTAAGTAAAATCAAGTCAGAATTGAGAGAGCTAAGAGGTTTAAAAGTAGAGCTCACAATCAAAATAAAATACGAAAAAACCAAACCGGATGGTACGATCGAAACGATCGAAGCTACACATTTTACCGATCAGAGAGTCGTTTTAAATCAAAGTCAAATAAAGAAGGTTTTAAAAGAAGACATCGACCAGATATTTAGAAAGGATGAAAGGTATAAGAATCAAGGATCGGGTTGGGTTTTAAAAAAGATAATGGCGTTGTATATCAACATCAACAGGTTTAACCCCGTGAGGGGTAGTTCTTATATTGACCTACCAAAATGTATCAAACAGAAAACGGCGATGATTAACATTAAAAACAAAGACGACGAGTGTTTGAGATGGTGTTTGAGAGCTGCTCTTGGGTTGTATACGGATAAAGTAAAAAATAACATAAAAAACGATCCTAAATATAAAAATTCATAAAGAAGAACCTGTTGTATACACCAAAGACGACAGACTCAAATTTAAAGGCGTAGACTTTCCAACACCGATCGACCAGATACCAAAGATAGAAAGACAAAATAATTTAACGATAAACTTATACGGTTATGAGGGGGAAATATATCCGTTATACGTGTCTAAAAACTACAAAGCAGAGTCACGACCTATCGATCTGTTTTTGTTTTCTGAGGGCGACAAGCATCACTATTGCTGGATAAATAATTTTTCGAGATTGATTTACAACGTTACAAAACATAAAAGTAAGAAATATTTTTGTCGAAGGTGCCTGTGTCATTATAGAACGCAAGTAAAATTAGATAGACACATGACCGATTGTAATGGCATAGATACACATCCGTCAAAGATTGTATTTCCTACCGCTAAGCGAAAGTATGTAAATAACGAGTGGATAGTCGACGAAAACGATGTGCCAATATTAGAATTTAAAAAATGCAGGCTTAAACAAAAAGCACCGTTTGTAGTTTACGACAACTTTGAATCGATATTAGAAAAAAACTCGGACGATAAAAAGAACAACACGCAAAAGACAAACATTCACAAAGCTAGCAGTTACTCGTTGGTAGTAGTTAGATGTGACGGCACCAATGCGTATCAAGAGACTTATAGAGGTAAAGATGCTGCATCAAAGTTTGTAAATAAAATGTTAAAAATACAAAGCGACATAAATTTCATATTTAAAAAACCCCGACCCATGAAATTTAACGAGCGAGATAAAAAACATCATGAAAAAACAAACACATGTTGGATTTGCGAAAAACCAATTTATCCCAATTACTCGAGCAATTGTCAGTGCCAGAAACCCAAAAAAACAAAAACAGCAAAACAAATAAAAGAACATCAGTACGAAAACTAAAATGGATTTATCGAGTCTAAATGTCTCGAATGCAAAAAGAAAATCAACAAATTTAGAAAGGTGAGAGATCACTGCCATGTCACGGGTAGATATAGAGGTGCTGCGCACGCCTTCTGCAATCTAAAATTACAAGTTAAACCAGGTTTTACCCCCATACCGGTCGTCTTTCACAATCTGCAAAATTACGACGCTCACTTGATCATGCAGAGTATTTCAGAGTATGATGACGAAAAGGAAATACAAGTTATCGCTAGAAATTCGGAAAAGTATCTTTCGTTTTCGATCGGAAATATGCGATTTATAGACTCGTTCAATTTGATGGCGTCTTCGTTGGATAGATTATCTAAAGCTTGTCCAAAAGAGTCGTTTAAACTACTCAGAGAACATTTTAATCGTCAAAACATCGACTCGTTGTTACAAAAAGGAGTTTTTCCATATGAATACATGGACTCGTTTGACAGATTTCAAGAGACCAGCCTACCCCCATCAAACAATTTTACAGCAGCCTAAAAGACGAAAATGTACGGCGAGAGGATTACGACAGAGCTAAACTGACGTGGAACGAGTTTAAAGTTAAAAACATGGGGGAATATCACGATTTGTACGTCACTACCGATACGTTATTACTGGCATGCGTATTTGAAAACTTTAAGCAAACGTGTATTACAAACTACGGGTTAGATCCGGCTAATTACTACACAGCACCAGGATTGTCGTGGGATGCCTTGTTAAAACACTCGGAAGTTAAACTCGAATTATTGCAAGACATAGACAAACATTTATCTTTTGAAAAGGCAAAAAGAGGTGGTATCTCGAGCGTGGGTGGTATGAGATATTACAAAGCCAACAACAAATACCTACCCGACCATAATCCTAACGAGCTGTCGAGTTACATCACCTACCTCGATGCAAACAATCTGTACGGCTGGGCCATGAGTCAATACCTGCCGTACAAAGACTTTAAATGGGCATCTACAAAAACGTTTACCGAGTCCAAGATCATGAAGATATTATCGCTGAAGAAAACGTCAAACACCGGTTACTGCTTTGAAGTAGACCTTGAATACCCGGGCAATCTCCACGACCTGCACAACGATTATCCCCTAGCGACGGAAAACATCGTCATACCAAAAGAATGGACGTCTGATTATCAAAACGAGTTATTGGATACTGAACCTAGTAGCAACGTGCAAAAATTAACGTTTACACTTAATCCTAAACAAAAATATGTTTTGCACTACGTCACAGTGCAGTTGTATCTCAAACTCGGCTTGAAACTTAAAAAGGTCCATCGAGTGCTGCAATTTAAACAAGCCCCTTGGATGGCATCTTACATCGACAAAAACACGCAACTCCGAACTAAGGCGAAGTAAAAAAAAAACATGTTTAGCGTCCCCGCCCGCTTCCTTTTTAGAGGACGCCTCCTTTTTTTTTTCTATTTTTTCTTTTTTTTTTTAAAGACAAAAATTGATAAATTTTAACGATCTCTGACGAAAGAAATCATATTTTTAGACTTTTATACCGTGTATAAAGCTGTGGAAATAGTCAATGAGTCCAAGTGGCGGCCATTTTGAAAAAAGCTGGTAACCATCTTGAAAAATAGCCCGGCCGCGTTGGCTTGAAAAATGTGTCGGGCGGCCATTTTGAAAAGAAAAAAAAAAAAAAAAGGGCCTCCTCCTTCCTTTTTGTCAAAGAGACAGGACGCTAAACATGTTTGTTTTTTTATTTTGCCTAAGGCGACTTCTGATTTTGAGAAAGACTCTTTTAAGCTCATGAATAACAGCGTGTTTGGTACTATTAAAGATGATGGAAAACGTCAGAAACCGGATTGACGGTTACCTTCTCAGAGACAGTAACGATGACGATCGAGAAACCGAGCTACAAAACGACGACGTCATTTTCAGAATGCAAATTGTCATTTGTCGAAAAGTACAAGACTAAAACCGTTTTAAACAAACCGATCTATTGCGGAGTGAGTATCTTAAGCCCCTGTCACACTTTTGCGTATCCCAATTCCTTATGAGTTCCTTATCAACAATTTTCAATACGCAGCCGTACGATCAAAAACGTCGAATTTTTTTGATTACTTTGACATATGTGCGACGCACATCTAGCGAACAAGACTACGAATTCAGCGCATCCACTGCGTATGAGATGCGTATGAGTTGCGTATGCAGTGTGCAAGTTCGCCATCTGTGCGTTTCTCATAAGTACAATGCGCTGCCCGCTCGCAGGACGAGCGGTACTAATTCGCGCAATACGTCGCTATGTATACGTCCAATATAGGAGGTCAGCGTATTGCCGCGTATGAATGGCTTATCCCTCATGAACACATAGCGTACTCGTACCGCGCTCGACTGATGCGGGACCGATGCGCTGCGTATTTATAACTTATGACCTGCGTAACAGCGTACGCAGCGTAGTTTTGTGCATGCCCAAAACTATCCAGCGTACTGGGCCGTACCATGCGTTTGCCTGCGTACATAAAACTTACATAAAACGATAGAGATACATATGAGGTTCGTATCGTGCGTTCGACTGCGTATGAGAAAAAGTCAATGCGCAACTCATAAGGAATTAGGATACGCAGAAGTGTGACAGGGCCCTAAGATCTATCTAAGACGCTGATGTACGATTCTTATTACAACCATTTGAAAGACAAGTACAAAGAGAAAATCAGGTTGATGTACACAGATACAGACAGTTTGGTACTCGTAGTGCACACGGACGACGTATACAAAGATATGCAGCAAAACGGGCAACAATACTGCCTTTCGAATTATCCGACGGATCATCCTTTGTACGACCCAACCAATAAGAAAGTGATCGGTAAATTTAAAGACGAGTTTGGAGGTAAAATAATCAAAGAAGTCGTTTGTATAAGACCTAAAATGTACTCCATTTTAACCGCTGACATCAACCTGAAAAAAGCCAAGGGTGTCACAAAATCGGTCACCTCTAAGAAATTAAAACACCGACACTATTACAGCTGCATCTTAAACAAGAAATCTCATTACGAAACCATGACTCACATTAGATCGGAAAATCACATCCTTCATAAAATCATATCGTTGAGTCCGTTGGACACAAAGAGGTACATTTTACCGGACGGTATAAACACGCTGGCTTTTGGTCACTACAGCGGTAACTGCGTGTCCTCGGGGACGACTTGAAGCTCTTGTCTCACAAAACTCCTTTTTGGTCCGTTTTAAAGGTAATAAAGAGTAGGACCCGTCGTGACTTTTTTACCGTTTATCATTTTAAATTGACTCGTTCTTTTTTCCATGTTGAAGATGTCTATGCTCCAAATGGGATCCGTGGCTCTTTTCGAAGTACCCCCCTCTTGCTCACTCGGGTAATATAAATATCTAACCATAGCGCCTTGCGGTTAATTCTGCTCTTTTGTTTTAACGGGGTTAGCCGGCGATTGTCGGACCTGTTCTAGTTTAACCGCCTCTGATGGCGCTTTAGCTATTCATCTTGTCATTTCATCGCTTATAGCCTTGATCACGCCTGGTAATCGCTCGACCCATTGCGTGTTTCTACTCTCGGGATTTAACATTTCTTGAGCGTACTGATGTCCAAACAGTCTCTCGGCTAGCGTTCGATTAAATCTTTCTACGATACCCTGCGATCGGTGGTTTCCTGGTTCACCTACGATAATCTC